GTTTGAAACCTCTATCGCGTCTATTACTACATCCTCTATAACAGTTGCAAAATTGAAGTTTGGGCAAGTTATTCGGGATGGATTGATTAGTGGGAAGGTTGAATGCAATTCGTTAATGTGTGGTAGACTTGCTGGAGTTTTTTTTGTTGCGCCTTTCATTTTAGCAAGTTTCCCCTCAATTTCATGTATTGATTTTCGTAAAGCCCAATGGGATATAGGTGGTAGTTACCGTGTTTCATGCATAAGTTGGTCATTGAATTTCAAGCAATGGGATTCTGGAGGACTGATCTTCTTCACCTTGAGGACAAGGTGAAAGTTTTAGGGGGGAGTATTGATAAGATCCTATTATATACCCGTCAAAAAATGAGTCCGCACCGTTTTTGAGATCGGTTGAAAAACTCAATTCGCCCCACCTCGTTTAGCGGATGGGGCAGGTTGAGCCGCTGAGTCGAGTCCGTTTTACCAGCTCTAATCCTCATCCACGTTCTTGGTGTGGTTTGTAATGGGTATGTGTCATTAGGTCTCACTTATCAATGCCTAACGGCTAAAAAGGCCCCACAGTTTTGTGTTTTGGGTTCCTTTATTAAGTAATCATGCACCTGTCACAAAAGATTCATTATTAAGAGTCACTTTCATCTGTGGATCGTCTTAGTCAATAAATGTTAGAAAGAGAATTTTTTTTATTAAATTTCATTGAAATAATCTGTTTTTTTGTGTGTGAATATAATCTATGATTTATTAAAGGGTTAAGTGACTCTCCAGTTATACAAGAGTCATTGTTCTAGCCACATAGATAAAAAAACATGTGGAGCCCCCATGTAAAAAGAAAAAAAATATTAGAGCAAAAATTAAAGGTTTAGCAAGAGAAAAAACTTTTCTCGTGCTACAGAAGAGTCACTTAAGTCTTTATTAAAATCATAAATATACGAAGAAAGTTATATTTACAAATTAAATTATTTACAAATTCTTATAATTAAATTTTAGCTTTTGATTTTCGTCAATCTAATGGTTATAATTTATTGGGTCACATTTATTAATTAAATATTAATTTTTAATAAATTATAACCATTAGATTGACAAAAATTAACGATTAAATTTTAGTTATAAGAGTTTGTAAACAATTTAGTTTAAAAATATAAACCTTCCTTTGCTATATACCCAAATCATATAAAAGTAGAATAGAGGCATCATACTCCTTTTTTTTTTTTTTTTTGATAACAGCATCATACTCCTTTTTACATATGTTGAGCAGTTAAGTTTAAAATATTTTTTAGTGGGTCTGAAGTATGGGAATTCCTTCCCAAAATAAATAAATAAAAAGGATTGAGAGGAAAAAACTAAAAAGAAAAGGATTAAAATAAAAAAAAAATTTATTTATAAAAAAAAGATATCACTAAATAAATAATGAGAAAAAGAATTCTTATGTTGTAGGAGAGCTCTCTTCTCATGTTAGTAAGAACTCGTTTTGCGTGCAATAATTTTTTTTATTTTCTTTATTTTTTATGTGTGAGCCCTACCATAAATTTAAGTGTGTAGAAAATTTCTTCCTCTCCAACAATACGAGAACCCATAAATAATATGGCTGGATCACAATAAATTTTTCGGTTAAGTTGTCAAAGCTTAGATATATGCAACAACATCCGTAATAGCAAGGACAATTGTGACTATAATAATGTCAGTATCGGTCACATATGCAGTGATGTTTTTCTTCTTACGATGAGTAATTTTTCGTGCGACTTTTGACTTTTGGCATTGAATACTTTAGGGACGTTTGAGAAAGGATATATTCTTTTTATCATATAAATACAATTATCTGAAATATGGTTGAAAAATAAGTTTAGTAGAAAAGTTAAAAAAAAAAATAGTTTGGTTAGCTAAAATTTTATCAGGAAAATTGAGTTAAATTTTGTGAGTCTTTATTTGATTGGAGTTAATATATTGATGAAAAAATAAAATGAAATGACAAAAATAACCTTATAATTACACGGATGTTCTCTAATTAGAAGGGTATTATTGTCAAGTTGCATGTTCACTTTTCCTCATTTATCCAGTTTTATTGAAGGGGCTATATTTTCTTCTGCTGCAATGGATATGAATTTTTCCTGCACACCCATGGAGAATAGTGTCAACAGTTTTTTTTATTTTATTTTATTAAATAATGGGACCCACTTTAAAAAAATGTATCTAGTGCATGAGAAATCCATTTGCCTGTGTTGCTGAAGAATATGATTTCTCTTTATTGAAATACCACATTGCAAGTGATAAACTTGAACCAAACTCTTACGGACCTTGAGATCACCATCCTAAAAGCTAACTCAAAGGGTGAGAGTGTTTAAGACCTTATAAACCTCATATTAGTTATATAGGCAACCAATATGAGACTCATAACATTGACATCCTTTTAAGGGCCGACGTCCGCATAAACTTTTACCTTATCACATTGATCCGATAATAGCCCTTTCTCTTTAACACAAACATTATCTTAAAGTTTGTACACACGATAAAAAAACAAAAAAACAAAAGTTGAGCCTACACATTTCTCGGTGATCATGAACCGAAAAACTGAAAAGGTGTTGTCAATATAGGAGAATTTATAATCTGTGGTTAAGATGAACTCAACTGCAAAATGAAAAATAAAAAATACAAAAACTTGGGAATATTTTCAGAAGAATCTTTTCCTTACTATTACAGTAGAATATGTTCCTTATTTTTGCAGTACATTTTGGAGAAAACAGACAGCGCTTGTAAACCGCCCAATGAAGAAGATTCTGTGAATTATGAAACAGTAGGCATCAAGCTATACATACATTGTAGATGAAAATAAACCCTCAACGACGGTTTGGTTGATGAGAAATTTTTTGAATACTAAAAAAATATAATTAATAAAAAAATAGTTGGAAAGTGAGTTTGGTAGGAAAATATAAAAAAAGTTGTTTGGTTAGAAAAAATTTTACCGGACAAATTAGGTAAGATTTATAAAGTCTATGTTTTGTTTGAGGTAAAATATAGATGAGAAAATAACTTCAAAATACAAATATAACCCCATAAAAAAGTGAAACCTTAGCACTTTAGATGAGGATATTTAAGTCTACTAGTGAGTTGCTCTTTTGTCATTTAGCTAGCTAAATGTAAAATACCACCTTCAAGTTGTCTTTCTAAATAGTAACTTTGTCTTGCTTTCTATGAACAAATAAAGAATGCTATGCAAATACAATACCTACGAAAATTTTGTAAAACCTTCTACCAAATATTACTTTTTTACTTTGCCAATTTGATTTGCATAGATAAATTTTAAAAAATCTTGAACCAAACACCACCTAAAACTAAAGCCTGCCATTACTAGAGTGGCACCAGATACCTAACGTTATAGGAGAGATGCTTAAGGTGAAACATCACACATATAGTGCCATTTGATGCTTTCAATATATTCTCCAAGATAAGTACGTACCAAAAGTGTTATAACATACATGGATTGCGATTCGAGTCATCCTAGCACTTTGTATCTATATCAGAAAACCAAACTAGGTTTCTTTTCTATCTAGCAAAAAAGTGGATTTGGCTGTTTATTATATGTAGTGATCAATTAATGACTTAAGAGATGAGTAGACAATGAGCCAATGCGATGCTCTGCTTCTATATGTTCTTGGTGTCATTCTCTATGTTGACCTATGAAACAAGAACTGATCGAAACCACAACTTAAAAGTTTGTACATTTACGCAACCAATCCTACAAAATTGGCTGCATTTTATTTCTCTAGAAAATAATGTGGAAACTTGGTGCGTAGGGGTCATTTTCAAAAAAGGCAAAAAGCCAAATATTGAAAAGGCATATTTGAGTGTTGGGGTGGCTTATAGAAGATTTTCTTCATAAGGATAAGTTGGAATGCCAAAGTGGGAGAAGGGTGGTTCACTTCATGTAAAAGATTTGAAGTCATGGATCAATGCATTAATTCTGTATCTAGAACTTTAAGAATATGTAGGACCGAGATTAGAACGGCGCTCCTCTTAGAATATTTTGCATGCGTGATTACTGGTTTGAAGTTTGAACATTGAAAGCTGACAATTTTACATGAAACTAAATGACATATAAAGACACGCTTGGATGGAGAGAGAAATAGGGGGCGATATAAATCAAACTAAGAAAAGTATGAGAAGCCAAAGGTGAGAAAACTTCGCTTGATTAATGAACTTTAGAAAAGAACAAGAAAATAGGGGAGAAAAGCCACATGGTCCCCTCGGAAGGCTCCTTTTCTTTTTCCATGACGAGAGATGCTTATGAACTATATGATTAGTATATTATACGTACATTTACAGATTTAATGTGAATTTTGTTTTAAATATTTTAAATTTAATATAATTGCATGTATGATATTATATCTAGAGGATTGGTCAATGCTTTCAGGAGAAGTCTTGTGTTTTGAGAATAGTATATTTTTTTCTTGTGTAATGGACCATTAAATATACCAATATTTAATTAAAAGAAACTAAAAAATATCTGAGCCAAGCCGATAACGATTATACCAATAATAATGAAAAGAAACTGAAAAAAATAATATATATTTAAAAAAGAGGATTAAAAGTTTCGCACTCAATTTTTGTAATAAGGCCTTTTTTCTTTTAAAATTTTCAGAAACGGAAGTAATATTTCAAAGGGATAGGATATTGTTAATATCAATGAGTGTTATTACCAATGTTACTACAAATTTATTTAATCTTTAGATTGATTATGTTCATCTAACAGTTATATTTATTTTCACTTTTATATAGTTATGATTTTCCATATTTAATGTGGAAGCATTCGTAACTATAGAAAGATAAAAATAAATATAAAATATCCTTATTTTAAATTAGTTTTTTTTTTTTTTTTTTTGTAATTCTAACATGAACAGGCTATAAAAAGCACACAACCTCGTGGAAGGTCGAACAAAGGAAGAGATCGAGAGAAAGATAAGATAAATTCTCGCTCTGAATAGTCTCTGCTCCAAGCTTTGGTTTTTTGAAGATGTCAGTACTCTCAGATCTAATCAACCTTAACCTCTCCGACACCACCGAGAAGGTGATCGCCGAGTACATATGGTTAGTCTCTATCTGTTTGTATGTGCATGGATTTACGTGTGAACGAACGTCTCCTCGGATCCTGTTAATGGGTTTAATTTATTTTTGTTCATCTCCCATTCCATTTGATCGATCACACTGCGCTCTTCTAGTCCCTGTATCGCTCTGATTCCCCTTGTTTTTTTTTTGTTTTTTTATTTACGTGAATGTGGATGTGTTTGCAGTGATATCTTACATTTCTTCATGTTTGTTTTTTCGGTGAATAGGTTTCAATAATATTGTTTTGGTTTCGTTCTGTTTGTTGGGCCATAAAATCTAACAAAGTTTCCCCTGCCCTTCTATGATCGTGCATGATTTTAGACTTTTGGCTTTAACTTTTTGATCTCCTAGAATAAGGAGGAGAAGGCAATGAAAACACCAATAACAATGTTGTGGTTAATTGAAATGATGAATCGAAAGATAAGAAGGGAGGGTTTAGCGACGAGGGAGGAAATGAGGAGAGGAATTTGGAAAATTTTCAGCTTAGCTCTCCACTCACACTGTATGAGTTTGTTACAACCGAGAGATAACAACAAATTACTGAAAGATAATAACAATTTTTAATAAAATTATAAGATAAAAATGAGAATTGATATCTAAATGCCAATATGATAGTACTTTGCTGATGGGGTTGTCTGCCACGCTAAGTTAACCGGAGTCTTGTAGTCCACTAGGTATTGGGGCTGCGTTCTATTTCTTTTGGGCCTGGTTATCTTATCTTGGCCCACAACATCCTAAGTATCTAACTTGCTTTTTCCAAAAAATAAAAATAAAATTTTCTATACTTTATCAACTTACCCCCTTTTATTTTCGTTATGATAGGATCGGTGGATCTGGCATGGACATGAGGAGCAAAGCAAAGGTAATTTACTTCACCTGTTTTAATCAAAAGTAACAAAAGAAAATTTTACTTTTTTGGTCCGGTAAATGTATATGGGTTAAGTATGTATCTTTTTAAAGTATATATCTTTTTAAAGGATATAAATTGTGTCTTTTAATTTTTAACACTATGTATTACGGGTAATATATATTTATAATATAAAGTCATTTTTTTCTCTCTAAGTGATCTAAAGTGACTGATAAAAGAGAAAAAAATTACTTTTCATATTATAATTATGTACCATCCGTAGTACATAGTGTTCAAAATTAAAAGGACACAAGGTTGTGTCTTTTAAAAAAATAAATTTTTTCCCCAATATATATATATATAGAAAATGATTAACTTACATTACTGTAATTTTAAACTTATTATAAACCGTTAATTACATTTGCATCTAATATCACTAAATTATTAGTCAACATGAACCGTTAGATGAAATACGGGTTAAGATAATAAGATTAATATAAGACGTGCTTTTAATTTATATGTATATATAATAACTTATTTATAGTTTTAAAATTATAAGTAACTTATTCAAAAATCCTAAAAAAAGTGGGGAACAGTAGGAGTGTTCGCAGTTTGGATTGGGTCGATTTTGGAAGTAAAAATCATCTGATCCAATCCCTTTGGTTTAATCATGTAATTATCCATTCGGTTTGAATTTTTTTTCAAATCCGATCCGATCCAATCCAATTTTATTCAGTTTGGATTGGATCGATTTTCGGTTTTTTTGAAAAGCCTAATATTTGTATGATGATTATTGTGCAAATAACATATTTTTTGTATGTATGTATCAGCTTTGTAAAGTTTGTATAATGATCATTGTGCAATCTAGAAGTATTGTACAACAAGAAGTTAAATTATCATCTTTTACTTTCAACAAAAAAAATTATAATATGGTTGTTTGAGATACGAACTAACCCAATTTTTTATCCTAGGAGCTGTTGTACAACAATAACCTATGTAATAAAAATATATCATAGATCAAGCACAATCCACTTTCTCCAACATGATGGGTTAACGGGGGTTGGATTTAGAATTTTGCTATATGATTTTTGGGCTATAATTGGAGAAAGGCCTAAGTAGGTAGATGCTAAGAATGGGGAATTATTGGATCGGTTTGGATTGGATCGATTTTCACCCACTCATCCAAAAATCAATCCAATCCAAATAAATTTTGCGATTCTTTTTTTGGTTTTCGATTTTTCGATTTTCGGTTAATTCAATTTTTAATTTTTTTGGTCGGTCACCATAATTTGGATCGGTCGACGAAGAGTCTAGGGAAGAGTATAGATTAATTTGAACTCTATTTATTTGGCCGGTAACTGACGCATGTACAAAATGATTTTCGATAGACACTATCAGGACCGGTTACAGACCCTTCGAAGCTTCCGAAATGGAACTACGATGGTTCCAGCACTGGTCAAGCTCCTGGACAAGATAGTGAAGTGATCTTATAGTAAGCATCTTTTCTTTTTGTTAAAATTAGACTTTGTACCTGATCATTTCTTCTCATATTATACACTTCAAATATTGTTTCTTATTAATGTTGTCTATCTTTGATCAAATACAACAGTCCACAAGCAATTTTCAAAGATCCATTCAGGAGGGGCAACAATATCCTGGTCTGTTTCTTCTTCTCTACAATGTTATCTGTATTCAATACAACTTTCTTCAGTTAAAAGTTAAACTTGTTTCCATGGTGTAATCATCTCATGTCTTTCAATTGTAATTGACTTTAGGTTATGTGTGATGCTTACACTCCTGCTGGGGAACCCATTCCCACGAACAAGAGACATGCTGCTGAAAAGATATTCAGCAATCCTGATGTTGTTGCTGAAGAACCCTGGTATCTATTGTTGATGCTAATGACCTATTGCCATGATTTCATTCTTTTCCTCGATTTTAACATTGCTGTATGATATCCAAATAGGTATGGTATTGAGCAGGAATACACCTTGTTGCAGAAAGATATCAATTGGCCTCTTGGATGGCCTGTTGGTGGTTTTCCAGGGCCACAGGTGAAAATTCGTTTTCTTCAACCGGGTTTGGAATCTTTAAAATGAAAGAATTGATGTAAATAATTCTGGTCCTAGAATGAAATTTGTTTAGGATGAATTCATTCAATAATTCAGTTTATTTACAAAATTATTTCTAATGATGTGTTAATTTAGTTTATGAAGGGTGATTAACAAATTTAAACTTCTAGTCTTTTATGGCTAACTTGTCAGTCTTGTAACTTCTAGTCTTTTCCCCTTGCTCAACAGGGACCGTACTATTGTGGTGCTGGTGCTGACAAGGCTTTTGGGCGTGACATTGTTGACTCACATTACAAAGCCTGTCTTTATGCCGGCATTAACATCAGTGGAATTAATGGAGAAGTGATGCCCGGTCAGGTAATTTGGAGCATGTTATGTTATAATTTTCATATTCATCATTCTTCACCCTTATATTTCATTTCTTTTTTTCTTTTTTTTAATATGTTGTTGTCTTTCTACTTTAACTGCTTTTAATTTAGTCCGCTCTTCATGTTATGTAGTGGGAATTCCAAGTTGGTCCAGCTGTTGGGATCTCTGCTGGTGACGAGTTGTGGATTGCTCGTTACATTTTGGAGGTTGGAAGCACATGAATACTCTCCCAGTCACCCTCACCATCAATTTTCTCTCTTTTGAGAGAAAGCAAGCATTTTTTTTAACGGTGGACTGTCTTTTGACACCCGTGTCAAATCAAATTGTTGATTTCTGCTAATTTACTGTTATTATTTATTGGGAATCAAAATTATTAAATAATATTACTTTCAAAAAATGATAACTGTTAATTGGCGAAAATCAAAGTTTAAGACTTAGTGTCAATTTTCAAAATTTGGTGTCAAAGGATCCTATCCCTCTTTTTATTTTACTTTTTTGTAAATACAGCAATTAACATCTCTGTTTATGTGTTAACAGAGGATCACTGAGATTGCTGGGGTGGTGCTTTCCTTGGACCCTAAACCAATTCAGGTTTACAATCCTATCCTCATCCAGTTTCAACTTATTTTCTCCTAACTAGACTTTTGTTCCATTCCCATTCAAAAATTGAGGCCATTTGATATATGTAATATTGTTATTGAATTTGGTGTGATGATATTGACTCACTGTCATTTGGATTTGGGTTCTTACAAAACCAGGGTGATTGGAATGGTGCTGGTGCTCACACCAATTACAGGTAATCATGTTAACTTTAAAGAGTGGATTAATTAACTTAATTATCACTTTGCTTTGGTGCGTTGCGTGACAAGTGGATGATAAATGTTCCAGTACCAAGTCCATGAGAAATGATGGTGGCTATGAAGTCATCAAAAAAGCAATTGAGAAGTTGGAGAAGAAACATAAGGAGCACATTGCTGCTTATGGAGACGGCAATGAGCGTCGTTTGACAGGAAAACATGAGACAGCTGATATTAAAACCTTCTTATGGGTAAGCAACAAAATGACCCTACTAAAACTAAAACATGTTCTTTAAAACATTTTGATTTTTTATAGTTGAGACTATTGTTATCAAAAACTAAGTATAAAAATGTAAAATCTTACGTTTTTATGCTATTACTAGAGTGGTGCGTGTTAAAACTCAAGTAAAAATGGTCATCGACAAAAATTGATAGAAATGCTGCGTAAAAATGATAAAAACTTACGTTTTTTACCGTTTTTACTTAAAACTAAAAATTTAATAAATAAAAAAAATACCGTTTTTACTTAAAACTAACAATTTATTAAATAAAAAAATTTACAAAAAAAAACCTAATTTTCGTTTTCCCCAAATCATATTGACAGTATCTTAATATCTTTTGGTTTGGATATATATTTTCTATAATTATGTCTTATAAAGCTGCAATTTTATTATAAGTTATGCTATAAGAATCGTTTTGTGTTTTTGGATCATTGTGTGCATGGAAAGAAGTGAAATTATATCCTAATGAGGAATAATCCAAAATCTGCAGAGTGTGTGAAGCAGTTAGAGCATATTGGTTATCCATTACAATTATCACTGTTTATAATTTTGACACTTGGTTATGAAAAATAATTTTCCTTGTGGCTCAACACACATGTTCATTATGTGATTTTTTTTTATATGCATATATATAATTTTGTATCTTGACCTTAAGTGGTAGAAAGTAGAAACTTTACGTTTCTTGTCGTTTATACTTTTTATGTTTCTACCATCCTTTCCGTTTCTACGTAGAAAGTCCTCTGCTCTACCAGCTAAGCTATCCCGACCATTCTTGATGCATCATACTCATTTTATTAGATTACTTTAATCTATGTCAACTAAAAAACACGAAAAAAAGAAGAAGAAGACTTTGTCAGTTTTAATATAATTATAGTAATTCTTATGTATTGTTAATCATTTATATGAGGATTCCTTGCTCAAAGATAAGATGTTTATTTGTACATTTCTCATATAGAAATATAAAAACGAATTCTATATCTATCATATATCAAGTTTGACAAAATTGGTTGAGACCATATCCTTAGTAGTATTAATAAAATGTGCATGCAGGGTGTTGCAAACCGTGGTGCTTCTGTTAGGGTAGGGAGGGAAACTGAGAAAGCAGGGAAGGGATATTTTGAGGACAGGAGGCCTGCGTCTAACATGGACCCATACGTGGTCACTTCCATGATTGCAGAGACAACCATTCTCTGGAAACCATGAGCACCCACAAGAATCACATGACTTCGAGAGATGATCATTGTTGCTTCTCCGTACTTGTGATTTTTAGTTAAGATTTGTGAGTTTGTTTTTCTACGATTTCCTTGCATTTCTTGTTTTGCATTGTTCTATGTTTATTGCCTTGTTTGTTGGTATACCAAGGCGAGTCTGTTGCTTCATTCCCTTATTGTCCGTTTTAAGTGTTACAATAACGCAATTGACCCTCAAGTATTAATTAATATAAGACTGCTATTTGGTACCAATTATTTTTTAGGAATCTTATCACAAATTGTCTTTGACCAATTCAAGTTCTTTACAAACATTTACACATGGTAGGTAATGGTTCGCCAGCACTTTCGTAATAACTATTTCGTACTCTCAAGCATTATTCTTAATTTTAATGCGAAAATTTCTTACAATTGAGATATCAAAAAAATTTAATTGTAGCACAATTTGTCTTTTGGATATTTTCAATGTAAAAGAAAGATTTATTAAAGTGATACCGCAATCGTAATTAACAACACCCCCAACCCACTTTGGTTCGTAAGACCACAATGGAACAAGACACAGTCAATGTATCATACTCGAGTTTATTCTTAGAAACAAAAAATGATAGTAGAAACCTAAAACGTAGAAATGACACGAAATATAAAGTTTTTACTTTTTACTACTTAAGGTCAAGATACAAAATATATATATATATATATATATATATATATATATATATATATATATGCATGTAAAAAAAAATCACATAATGAACATGTGTGTTGAGCCACTTATCTATCTAAATATGAAAAAAAAAAATTGATAACCAAGTATCAAAATTATAAACAATGATAACTAACAAGTAACAAGTAATGGATAATCAATATGCTCTAACTGCTTTATACACTCTGCAGAGTTTGGATCATCACTCATCAGGATATAATTCCACTTCTTTTCAATACACACAATGATCCAAAAACACAAAACGATTCTCATAGCATAACTTATAATAGAATTGCAGCTTTATAAGACATAATTATAAAAGACATATATCCAAACAAAAAAATATCAAGATATTGTACATATGATTTGATGAAAACAAAAAATGGGTTTTTTTTAATTTCTTTTTTTTGTAAATCTTTTTTTTTAAAAAAAATTGTTTTAAGTAAAAACGATCAAAACGATAAAAACTAAAAACGTAAGTTTTTATGTTTTTACACTACGTTTTCATCAGCTTTTAGCAATGACAATTTTTATTTGCGTTTTAACACGCACCACTTTAATAAAAATGTAAAAAACATAACGTTAATTTTTGACAACAATGGACACGATAATAGTTTGTAACCCTCAAAAGCCCTATCAAAAAGTTGGCATGTTTTTATACTGAAATGATTAAAAACCAATATATATAAGTTAGAGAGGGGACTAGCTAATAACCCAGAAAAGATTCTGTGTCCACTGGGTCCACCCATCATAGAAAACCAGAGTCACACTAAAACCTACACTGCTGCTCAACTAGGCCCAATAACAACAGATGCTGGAAGTCCAATTCAATCTGATCACAATAGACTAGTTACAATAACAATATTAGAATATCCATTAACCCAATTAATTTTAAATACAAAACTAATTAATTAATATTGCCCCATAAAATAAATTTCTAACATTAACAACACCCCCAACCCACTTTGGTTCGTAAGACCACAATGGAACAAGACACGACAGTGGTTTGTAACCCTCAAAAGCCCTATCAAAAAGTTGGCATGTTTTTATACTGAAAATGACTGATTTTGTTAAGAATGATCATCTTCAGGTGCAGACAAGTCAGAACGATAATATACTTTTCCTAGCTAGAACAAACAACTTCTCAGTTCTCATAAGGGCTCCAAATGTGGGGCCCAATACCCATGTCCAAGTTAAATGATCTTATTAAATTCTGACAACACCGGGCCAACCACACCTCAAAAAAGTGACACAACAACACAAGAAGCCTTTCTTGACAACATGAACTTTACAACCACAACAAAGAAAGAAACCTACTTTTCCCCCGTTGTAATGCGTGGAACCTAATTTTCCCACACATTCTCTCACCCCACAGTTAAGCTATCTCATGGCTTCAAAGTTCTCGTTTCTGAGCTCTATCATAGAGAGAAAGAAGCCTAAAGAGAACACAGATGAATTAGCTGTTGTGAAAGCAGCTGCATGGGCATGGTACCAACACGGTTCAGGCTCTGAAGGAAAGGCTACGAGTGAGTTTGATGTTACAAGAACACACCGTGCAAATAGGCCTTCTCGTTACAAGTTAGAAGCAATGAGAATGGCCAAGGAAGGGTCCCAAATTCACACCAAGAAACCTCTTCTTGACCCTTATGAAGTACAAAGCATTTCAAGGCAACTTGATAGCCTCATAGAGTCTAACCACAACAAACTTGAAAATGGCACCGACAACTGTGGAAATGCAAGCTTGGATATTGGTGGTAGGAGGACGAAGAAGAAGATCAGAAAATGGTTTTGGCTAAGGCATGGTGCTGTGTGCGGCAGAGGGGATGATGTGATTGATCCCAGAGCTCTTAGGGATGGTGGAAGGCGCCAACCGACAAAGCGTGTACCTGCAGTTAAGTGTTTGCCACTGGCCAATACCAATGGTGCCTTGTGATCTTCTTCCATTACTGGGTTTTGGTTTGGCATGTTTCAATTGCTTATACTTGTTGTCATTATTGATGATAAACACAAACAAGAATTTGAGGCTAACCATATCTATTTCGGGAAAGTTTAAATTTATAAATTTTGTCCACCAACTCTTATAAATTATATTATAGATATAGTGTAGTTCGTAACTAAGTTTGTACAAAAAAATAAAATTATTAATATAACTCCCTGATCAAGTTTCGTAAAAAAATTACTTATATTTTTTATCTAATATCTCTGAAATGGAAGTGATACAAGTAACAATGAGTTCAACTGTTTTTTATATATGTATCCGATCGAGAATATAATCGACTAAAAGACTAACAACATGAAGAAGAAAAAAATGTTACGAATACAATTTAGTATTTCTAATAATTCAGGGTGTTGTTATTTTGGAAATGAATCCTCCCATATTTAAAAATCAAGAAAAATATTTCTGCATTTATTCTTAAAATGATATTATTTTTAGATTGAAAGATTTAAAAATTATAATTATAAAGACTATAATAAACTTAAAATAATTAAAATTACAAGAACATCACTATTTCCGCCTCAAAACGACTTCGTATTGAGTTTACTGCAAATAATTTATCTGAAATGACAGCAGGTAACCCTTTAAAAATAGATATAACTTCTTTCATGTAGAGAAACAAATAAAATGGGACCCACCAATTTTGTTAAAAGAGAGAGAGAGACACACATTTTTTAATGTGAGTACAACATGAGAGATCAACCTCGTGCAACATGAGAGTACGATTTTTCTTAAAAGAATATGACATGGATAAGATTTATCATTAAACCTCGTGCAACCCAAGTAATTTATAAGGAAAAAATATTTATCCTTTTAAAGATGGTCATTTTAACTAAATTTAGTATTTTTTAAATTAAAATTAAAAAATACCCACTTTCTCCTCCCATTATTGTGTATCTTTTTTTCTCACTTGAAAGGATAAACATCAAACCCAAATTACAATTATACAAAAATAAATCAATGATTATGATTTTATAACTACCTATTTTAATATATTTTTTCTTTTTTATCACTATTAATCAACTTTTATATGGTTATAATTTTTCACATGATCATGTTATATATTTTTTAACATAAAAGGATATACACAATGATATTTTAGTCTTTTTATTATCCTTCGTTAGAAAGTTATTTAATGGACACTAATAGAGATGGCAATATATATGGGTTGAATCGGTCGGATCAATCCGTCAAAATAGGATGGATTGGATTACACGTCTTAACCCACTAACCCGCCTTACTTGGTCGTGGGTCAAAATAGATTAGCGGCAGGTCGGAGCGGGTTGACCCACGGATTAGTTTTTTAAAAAAAATTAGGTAATATTTTATTTGTCACTAAGCTTTTGTGATATAAATTTTTTTTATCTTAATATTTTTCTAGAAATATAAAGAAGAGAAGTTTTATTTACAACAAAAGTTATTTATATATGGAGACAAAAATAAATTTTTAAAAAATGTCTGACTGATTATTAATATACATTTAAGCTTGAGATTGCAAAAAAACTAATGGAGATATGAAATGAAAATAAGTAATATTATAAAATTAATGAAATACAACAAAATAATTATATTTTATTTTTTTGGAATGAGTTGAACATTCTAACCCAGGTTCAAAAGATAACACGGAAAAAACAGATTGGCAGGGTCAGGAAATGCCAACCCATTTTACCAGCTCTAAACACTAACATAGCATGCTGGGGAAATAAATTATGTAGTCCCTCTCTCTCTCTCTCCTCCTTCTTCCTCTCTCCTTCCCTTGTTCTCTATAAGGGACCAATGATCCTGAACCACTACATTTTCTCTCCCATGCTGGTGTGACATGTCATTTGCGTAACCCACGTAAGCATTTCATTTCACAGCCTTCGAACATTTTTTTGATTAGGAGTTAAAGGACTACGATGGAGAGTCGATCAAAAAATAAAATTTGATGTGATATGTTTCGTTTCATTTCATTTAATATATTTGAAAATTTAAGATAGAAATAATTTATTATTCATTAATTTTATTATCATTTAAATTTTTGAATAATATAACAATAAAATAAAATAAAATATTGTAATTTATTGTAAAATACTCCATTAATAATATTATAATTTTGTTTTATCATATTTTATCCTAAACTATTTTTATTCTCTTTCGTTGTTAGACATTGTTCCGACCCAGACAACACCTCATCATTAATGACCGGAAAAAGCTTTTTTCCTTCCAAAATATCAATCAAGACATGTTCCCCCTTCCACAACCCACATAGCGCATCCTCCTATGCATTGACCCTATACTTTTTAACACCCTAACTCTCTAGGCTATTAAGCGGGGGGGGGAGGAGGGGCTTTTGTTCCGTCCAGCCCAAATGAAAGCCCATATCTAAGGGCTAACTGAAAACCTCCTCCCTTTAAAGAGCAAGTAATATACCCATACCAAGTACCTCTCTGGCTCTCTCTTCCATGCATAGGCATATGTCTTGCCCAAGCAAGACAGACTATGGTGGATAGGCTATCTCTTCCTCTCATATTGTCTTATCTCTCACCTATAAATACCCCCTCACTCCCATAAAAACATGTTCTATTATTTCATGAATTGTTACTCTATTCATTTAAAGAGTCACCATAGCCGTTAAACACCTCTCAACTATTGTCTCACAACACTTGAGAAGTTCTTCAAAGACCTTGATTCATATTATTATCATAAAGAGCACCATATATTAAGATATTCCTAATTATCTGGATCACTGGACACCTCTGTATGAATCATAACAATGCGAGAATACTTGCGTCTACGATGAAAATGTAGCTCATTCAAATATTACTGTATTAATATATATATATATATATATATATATATATATATATATATATGCTTTAATGTTTCTACAGTGAATGTAGATAAGTTGTCTACAGTCGCTCCAAAATGACGTCATTTTGGGTTGAAAAATTAAAAAATTATAATAAAAAAACCATTATAAGCCTGAAATAAATTATAATTACAGAAATATCTTGATTTTTGCCTCAAAACGATGTCGTTTTGGGTTCAATATAGATAAGTTACCTACATTGACAGTAAAAAAAGCGAACATATATATATATATACACATATACATTTTACTGAAACATCCTTTATTAATTAACTTAAAATTATAGAAATACCCTTCATTGATCAAAACGACTGAGTTTTTAGGTAGCTGTAGATAACTTAAGTTAATTAATAAAGGATGTTTCAGTAAAATGTATATGATATATATATATATATATATATATATATATATATATATATATATATATATATGGAAGTGGTTATATTTACAACCCAAATAGTTTACAAACTCTTACAACCATATCTTAACCGTTGATTTTCGCTAATCAACGATTTTTATTGTGAATTAATAATTAATTAATAAATTTGATTTGTGAAAATCTTAACCGTTGATTGACGAAAATCAACGGTTAAGATATGATTGTAAGAAGTTGTAAACGAAAATAGGTTCTAAATATAACTTTCCCCTATATATATGTATATATATATATATATATATATATATATATATGGGTTTGATGTTTGTCATTTTAAATGACATAAGTAATGTCATTTTAAGAGAGAGATAGGCACAAGGAATGAAAATCATGGGAGAGAAAGTAGATGTTATTTTTTTAATTTAAATTTTATATATAAAAAATATTTTCTTATTTCAATCTCTCTCTTAAAATGACATAATTTTATGTCATTTAAAATAACAAACACTTCCCCTATATATATATCATAAAAATATTTCTGCAGTTAATGCAGATAAGTTATCTGCATTTACTTTCAAAACGACGTCGTTTTGGGATTGAAAGATTAGAAAATTATAATTATAAAGACTATAATAACCCTAAAATAAATTAAAATTATAAAAACACCATGATTTCTGCCCAAAACGACGTCGTATCGAGCTTACTGCAGATAACTTATCTGCAGTAACTGCAGAAAAAGCGAACCATATATATAGGAAAAAATGTTTTTGCAGTTAATGCAGATAAGTTATCTACATTTATTTTCAAAACGAAGTCGTTTTGGTATTGAAATCTTAAAAAATATAAATATAAAGACTATTATAACCTTGAAATAAATTAAAATTATAAAAACACTGTTATTTCCGCCCCAAAACGACGTCGTATTGAGCTTACTGCAGATAACTTATCTGCAATAACTGCAGAAAATGAACCTATATATATATATGTATGTATGTATATATGGGCAATAATTTCTTATCAACTCGAGAAGAAGATCGCTTGCAGCAGAGAGTTCGTAAATTGTGCCAAATTTTTTGTTTTTGTTTTGTTTTTTAAAAAGCAATGGGACCCAGGATTTTGTTTCTATTGCATGAGAGGATGAATTTCACGACAACTTTTAAACCATATATATATGAGGTAAGATCATTTGACACAAGTGTCAAATTTGAAATTTGACACATCATCTAAGAGCTCTTAGATAAAAAAAGATCAATGGTGTCACATGTTTACAAATCAAAATCGTTAATCTAATGGCTCTTAGATGAGGTGTCAAATTTTAAATTTGACACTGGTGTCAAAGGATCCTACCTCTATATATATATATATATATATATATATATATATATATATATATATATATATATATATATATATATATATAAGGACAGAGTCCTTTGACACCGGTGTAAAATTTTAAAATTTGACATCAAATCCTATCTGTTGATTTCTACAAATCAACGATTATCATTTATTGAGAATTAACGACTTTGATTTGAAATTTGACACCTCATCTGAGAGCCGTTAGATTAAAAAAGATCAACGACTTTGATTTTTAAGCATGTGACACCATTGATCTTTTTTATCTAACAGCTCTCAGATGAGGTGTGAAATTTCAAATTTGACACTGGATCCTACCTCTTTCTATATATATGGAGGTAGGATCATTTGACATCAGTGTCAAATTTGAAGTTTGACACCTCATCTGAGAGCCGTTAGATAAAAAAAGATCAACGACTCTGATTTGTAAGCATGTGACACCATTGATCTTTTTTGATCTAACGACTCTCAGAGGAGGTGTCAAACTTCAAATTTGACACCGGTGTCAAAGGATCCTACCTCATATCATCTTACATCGGTGTAAGAATAATAAGTGTTACACCAAATCTTAACCATTAATTTTCTGCATCTAACGGTTAAGATTTATTAGGTCTCACTCATTAATTAATTTTTAATTTTCAATAAATCTCAACCGTTAGATGTACAAAAATCAACGGTTAAGATTTAATGTAAGATTTATTATTTTTACACTGATATAAGTTGATTTTATTCCTATATATATATAAACTGTATATTACTGTAGTGGTGGGAAATTTCATATGAAGTTGTCGCGTGCAAATTTTGTACCTCTGTTATTGACAAATTTTGATAACATAGCATAAGGTTTGGGGCAAATCGAGTAGGAAGAGTCGAAGAGATGGCGATGACCTTGAAAATGAAACTCTCAAAAACAAAAACCTTTCATTCTTTCCCTTGTCACCTTCTTCTCCGTTGTTGTGCTTACAGTTACAGTTACAGTTATGGTTATCATCATCCCCACAAAGACCATCAGTTTCTCTGTGCAATCTCCGAAGCCATCATCGAAACCAACTCTCTGGATTCCTCTCTCACTCTGAGACGCATTCTCCCTTCAATCAAACCCCATCACGTCGCCAAACTTATTAACCTCAACCCTCTCTCTCTTCCACCTTCCTCTCTACTCTCCTTCTTCAACTGGCTCGCTTCTCGCCCTCCCTTTCGCCACACTCTCCTTTCCTACTGCACCATGGCTCATTTCCTCTGCTCCCACCGAATGCTCCCAGAAGCCCATTCCCTCCTCCGTTTCCTAGTTTCCCGAAAGGGAAATGATTCTGCTTCTTCCTTGTTCGCTTCCATTCTCCAAACCATGCCTGCCCATCACTCCATTCTCGTTTTTGACGCTTTAATCTGTGCGTATACAGATTCTGGGTTTATACCTGATGCTGTTCAGTGTTTACGGTTGGCTAGGAAGAACAATTTCCCGATTCCGCTTTATGCTTGTGGGCATCTGCTTCATAAGATGGTGAAGTTGAAACCCCCTGATTCTTCCTGGGCCTTTTATTTGGAGATTTTGGGTTCTGGGTATCCGCCAAAAGTTTATAATTTTAATGTTTTGATGCATGGCTTTTGTAAAATTGGTGATATTAGGAATGCCCAGTTGGTGTTCGATGAAATTCTCAAGAGGGGTTTGCGTCCTACGGTTGTTAGTTTCAACACTTTGATCAGTGGGTACTGTAAATCGGGGAATTTGAAGGAGGGTTTTAGGTTGAAGAGTGTTATGGAGAGTGAAAGAGTCTGTCCCGATGTTTTCACTTTCAGCGCTTTGATCAATGGATTGTGTAAAGAGAGTAGGTTAGACGAGGCAAACCTTTTGTTCGATGAAATGTGCAAGATAGGCTTGGTCCCCAATGGTGTTGCTTTCACCACTTTAATTGACGGGCAGTGCAAAGATGGGAAAGTTGATTTAGCCTTGAAAAAATTTCAGATAATGCTGGCTGAGGGTATTAATCCTGACTTGGTTACGTACAATGCGTTGATCAATGGCCTTTGCAAGGTTGGACATTTGAAGGAGGCTAGGAAGCTTATGAATGAGATGAGTGCAACTGGTTTGAAGCCGGACAAGATCACCTTCACTACACTAATAGATGGATGTTGCAAGGATGGAGATATGGAATCAGCGTTGGAGATCAAGAAGAGAATGATTGAGGAGGGGATTGAACTTGATGATGTAGCTTTCACTGCACTTATCTCTGGGCTTTGCAGAGATGGAAGAGCTCATGATGCAGAAAGAATGTTGAGAGATATGTTGAGTGCTGGTTTCAAACCTGATGATCCAACATATACCATGGTTGTTGATTGCTTTTGTAAGAAGGGTGATGTTAAGATGGGATTCAAGTTACTCAAGGAGATGCAAAGTGATGGACATGTACCAGGAGTTGTCACGTATAATGTGCTAATGAATGGACTGTGCAAACAAGGTCAGATGAAAAATGCTAAGATGCTGTTAGATGCAATGCTTAATTTGGGGGTGGTTCCAAATGATATTACATTTAACATTTTACTAGATGGTCATTGCAAGCATGGAAGCTCTGAGGATTTTAACATATTTAATTGTGAGAAAGGACTTGTTACAGATTGTGCTTCATATACAGCACTTGTTAATGAATCAACTAAAACCTCAAAAGATAGCCTAAAGAGATGATTGCTACTAAACTTTTTTTAGCTGAACTGCCTTAATTGTTAGACCTGCCTTAGAGTTGATCAAAAGTAACTTCATTATTTTCACTAAATCAGTATTCAGCAGAGGTTGGCAGAACAGACAGAATACGTTTAAAATTTCATTGTCGCAAAATTAATGATTGGTTTGGTGGCTTGTTGCAAATATTGTGCAAGAGGGCATGAGGAGCTTCTATCTGAAAAGTTTTTTTGATGTTCAAACCAATGCCATCCTGCAAATGCCAGAAGGCTTCATTCATTGCAATAACACCAGCGTTATTGAAGATTGGAATTGCATTTCTCTCTCTTTTTGTATAGTGGATATTATTGATGCCAATTGAGGTGGTTCTTTTGTATGCTTGGGGATCCCTCATAAATGAAGCAACTTTGTTGCTATTTTCAATGCCAGAAGCCAAAGTTAGAGTAACTAGCTAAGGGCGAGCTACCCTAGATGATTCAGTTGCATCTTAAATGGCAACCTAACTACCTGATATGGATGCCCAAATTGATTCTTAAAGAAAGTGCTGAGATGGAAAATGCCACATTGCTGATGGATATACAGAAGTGAGAAACATGTTTTCGCTAGATGAATGAAACTTCTTTGGATGAATGCCCCCTTTATCAGGGCATGTGATATTTTTTCAAACTTCACCATTTTCGCAGAAGATTCAGTCATGATGCTGCCAGGTCAGCAGTTCTTACATATTTAGTTAACTCTGGTGTTCTTGGGTTGGTTACATAGGTAACATACATAAGCAAAGCAAGGAATCAAGATTCATAAGCTTCCTATACTCTTATGAAGGTGATCTTGTCCGGCTTCAAACCAGTTGCACTCATCTCATTCATAAGCTTTCGCATAGGGGGCGTTTATTGCATGCCAAAATCCTATACTCTTATGCTTGGACATTATCATTCATAAGCAAACGCCCCCTATAGCCATATGATTTCTTATGAAATTTATTGCATGCAAAGCTGGCTATAACCTATACTCATAAACTGATGATGTAAATCACTTATACTATGCAACTATTTCCCTTTCTTTAAAATTAATTAATGTTCTGGCTAAGCATATGCATTTACTTGAATATTCATGTATGATTGCACATTTGAATATTATTTCTTTCATTTAACTTTTATTATAGTATGTCTCTTTAAGTCTTATTACATGAATGATAATTATTTGGATCATTCATAGAAATGTTAAGTTTGAAAACTTTACAGATTATAATCAATGCATTATATGAAAAGGAGACGAGTCAATTGCAAAGCTACACTTTGTGTTAGTTACTATTTTGGACCAATATTAGAGGCTTAAGATCTGAAAGACCCGATCCTCAAGGGTTCAAGGCTCAAGAACCCTAAATCTATGCAACCCAAACTGTCAAAGAGGTGTCTTAGTCAAACACATAATTTATCTTAACCTCTGAAACTTTTGTATTTATTTTTCTCTTCCCATACATTAAATAAATAAGAACCAATTATTATTAATAAAAGAAGAAATAGACACCAAAATTTTACAAGTCCATATAAAATTTTAGCATGAAAATATCATTCCATAATTTATAGCTTAATGCTGCGCCGTGTTCCGTGAAGATTACCCCACCATAGTCTCTATATGCCTGTGGCCCATAATAGGCTCAGCTATGATCACAGAATCTCGGTCGCCAAAGAAAAAATAAAGAAAGAAGGTTTTGACATCCACAGATCAGAGATAGTAATACAAATTTCAGAGCTGGTCCCACGCATGTTATAAATACAAACGCTTCCAAAAAATATAAAAAATGAATTCCTTGTCCGTTTGTTTCACCTTTTCAAAAAATAATTTTTATCTCTTTTTTATTTTAAAAATATTTTTTATAAAAGTTAAAGTTATTTATATTTTTATAAAAATATTTAATTTTTGAAAAAAATATTTAACTTTTTATTTCTGCTTTTTTTTTTAACTTCTGAAAAAAAAAATAGATTTTTGACATTTTTGTGACTTCTTAATTTTTAAAAAACAGACATCTAAATGAACTAAGAATGAAAAATATTTTTTTCAAGAAAAAAACAGCTTTTAAAGAAGAAAAAAGCTCATCCAAACAAGCCCTTAAACCTAGTATCCACAGTGGTTTTAGCATAGAAGCAGCTTATAAATACACACTTTCAATTGTTTCCCGGAAGATCGTGAAGGAGCACCATTAAAACATTTGCAAAGGAGCATTTTCAATACACAATAGACCAGCCCAAACTCATCCGCAAATTACCTCCAACCATATATGTTTAATCCAGATATTTTGAGTTGATCAGTTACAATATAATGTCGCTATCTCACAATGAAGAAAAAGTTATTAAAACATGATGGCATTAAACAAGACAAAAGTATAGGAGTTCACGTGAAGTGGTTACTCCTAATATTAACTGCTATTAATTGTCCATTAGTATTCATTCCCTGTTTACCTTCCTTAAGGTCCGCACCATGTTTCTGTGGTTATAGCTAGCTTAATCAACCAAGCTATACATGAGAGTCTTAAGATCTGAGAGTAAATACCTTTTTGGTCCTCAATAAATTTTACGATGCTCGTTTTAGGAATTAATAATTAATTAATGAATGAGATCCAATAAATTTCAATCGTTAAATGCACAAAAATCAATGGTTAAAATCTGATGTAAAACTTATTATTCTTACAATGGTGTAAGATGATCCTGTCTATATATATATATATATATATATATATATATATATATATATATATATATATATGGCAAGATCATCTTACACTAAATCTTAACTATTGATTCTCTGCATCTAACGGTTAAGATTTATTAAGTTTCACTCGTTAATTAATTTTTAATTCTCCATAAATTTCAAAGTTTGATGCACGAAAATCAACAGTTAAGATTTGATGTAAGATTTGTTATTCTTACATCGATATAAGTTGATACTATCCCATATATATATATATATATATATATATATATATATATATATATGTATGTATTCTTTTTTGGCTCCTTTAGTAGTTTATATATGCGTAAATAAGAACAAACGATGAAAATTAAAAGTAGTTAATGTCCGAAGTAATAGGATATTAGTTAACTTTAGAACTTATTTTAAGTTGGAATTCAAGTGTCCATCGAAAGTGTCAAGTGAAAGTAGATCAAATATAAAAGAAACCTACCTGCAAGCGCACCTATACTTTGATTGAAGCAAAAGTAATTTACAAACCCAAAATAATTGTCAAATAGTAGAGGCGTAAAGAAAACCACGCACGCACACAGAGGTTAGGAAGAAAAAAATGGAAAAGAAGAAGATTAAAAGCGAGATTTTATCCTTAACTAAACCGACACAAGTTTTTGTTAATCATGTGAATGATGTGATTGTCGGGAATTATGTGGAAGCAGTTCGTGTCTTGGGCGGTCTTAACAAGCTGAGCTGTTCCTCTCCTTTCCACGAGTATCACTTTGTGTGGACCCCACTTCATTTCTTCGTAAAATCTATTGCCACGACCACAACTGCTGTTTACTTTGTTCCTTCTTCACTACACAAGGCAACGTTCTTTTTCCATTCTGGTTAAAACTTTAATTTTCTTTTACGAATTTTAAGTCTTTTTTTAATGACGAAACGAGAGCTTTAGGTTGAAGTGGTGAAGCTTCGTTTCAAAGTCTATTCTGTTAAAGCTAGATGGCTGGCTGCATCAATCAGTTGAGTCTTATTCAATCAAATTGTATTTCATCTCTATCACTCTTCAACTTGGTTGGTAACTGTACCCCAAAATAATAATAATACTTCTTCGTCAACTCTAATTCGGGTGCAGTGTTTCTTCCACTGATAAATAGTACAACCTTATCTTAATACAAACAACCCAACTCGCTCTATTATTCTTTCTTATAATTGAGAGAAATGTTCACTCAACAAAAAAGAAAAGAAAAGAAAGAAAGATAGGGATATTCAAAATGACTGTTAGAAATTAAGCTATAATAAGTCCATTTTAAAAGAGTGGATTTTCAAATAAGAGGACAATATTACAGCTCATTACGTGTCTCATTTCAAGCTTATCTTAAATTATACACTCATGATATTATTGGTTGATATTCTCCTCTATTCCTGATATATATATACATCAGTCTCATTCATAATAATGTACATGATTTAATTATGATGACCTTATAGAAGCATCGTCCTTTTGAAAGATCAAGCGAAGCCCCACATCTTGCATTTGTCTAAAACGATAGACATAGACCACACGAAAGACCTCTTTCTTTTCTTCGTCACTCGCAGTCCATCCAAGATCATTCATTAGTATATTTCCTTTGCACAGTAACAGTGTGACACTTTTATATATGTAGCTAATAAACGACTTCTGCCTACTCATGATAGTTACGTGCACCAGCACCCATAATATCAGCTCCTCCACCACTCTACTACTTAGTTGATCTGCTACAATCGGCCTCACCGAAGCCCACCCTATGATTGGCCAGATCAAATTCAACCCAAACATTCTGCTGATGGAAGTTGCCAATAATGTTACTGGGCGCACCCAATCTTTCTGACCTTCCTATTCCCACGCAGTGGACCCCACCACCCACGTCAGCTAACACTCTCTCTTTCCGAATCACTATCTCCACGCCTTTCTCGAACTCGAACACCATGTCCCCTAACAACCGTCCGATCTCCATTGCATTACCATCAAAGCACATGTCAGCAACCCCACCGTACACGTACCCCTTCTTTATCCTGGGCCCCACCACTCTGATTACCTCTTCCCGCACCCTATCATAAGCCTCGTCCACCAGGAACGTGAATTCGGATCCGGAGTCAATCATGGTCTGACCCGACCCGCCAGCGTTGGGTCGGAAAACAGAGGGTGGGATGTTCAGCTTCTTGCCACCGATACTTATCCCCTGCATTGGGACCGTGTAGGCCAAGGGGTCCAGGTTCGGCATGCGTTGACTCTGAGGGAAGGTCAACATGCTAACGTAACGGAACCGGGCCGAATTCGGGTTGTTTCCGAGGTAGAACGATCCTGTCGGGAGGTATCCGGGTCGGGTTTGTCGGGTGGGGACACAGTACGAGAATTTTGTGATTTTGGCTTGGGAAGGGAAGGACAAGCGACCGAGGTTCATTCCCAAAATGCCCCTGGCGTCGCTGGATTGCGTGGCGCAACCGAGGATGAGGGGAGGGGTAGTTTGGGAAGGAGAGAAGGCGAGTTTTTCTCGGACTAAATTGCCCTCGGCGTAGGTACCGTCGGCGTAGAAGTAGGAGTAGTGGCAGAGGCGGTTCTGGTCGCAGGTTGTGGGAAGGGTAAAATCGGGAACGCGAGGCTTGCAAAGAGGGTGGGTGCAGGGGATGACATAGAAAGAAGAGGAGAGAGAAGGATCAAACGACGCCGCAGGGGGAGGCCTTTTGGGTGTCTTGTTGTGACACTGAATCCATGAGAGTTGGCTTCCCGTGTCCAACACCATTTGCTGAAGCTGCGGAGGAGTCCCAATTGGGAGAGTCACCACCAGAGCCATTGAATACTTGAACGATGATTTTATGTTGTAGGAAGAAGAAGAAGAAGAAGAATAAAGGGTTCTTAGTTGTGGGTGGTTGTTCTTTGAGTTTGATGAAAGAGGTTTTGTTGTGGAAAGTGGAAGCGATGTAAGAGGGAAAGAGAATGAGTCGTTTTTATGGTTAAGAAGTTTTGCAGAGAAGCAAGTGAAGAAAAAGAATGAGAAGAGAAGCATGCAGAGTGAAACAGAGGAAGAAAGAGCCATTGAGAAAACACAGAGAGAAAGATGGTTTTTTTTTTGGGGGGGGGGGGGGGGGGGGGGGGGGTTGAGTTCAATTAGGAAGTGTAAGGGAGAAGTGGTAAGGTGGGGTTAGTGTTTATATATATAGCGCCAAAGTGAGGACGCGTTTTCAATGGTTGAGTTGAGTGGGTGCTTCTTATAATTTTTTAGAAGAGTGGGAGTCTTGCTTCACATATCATGATGATACCCAGTTAAATTTGGTATAATCTATTCAGCTTCTCTTTCTCTGGCCACCCCTTTTTGAATTTGGTATCATGATTGAGTTAATTGACAAATCCGTTATGGGTTTTTTTCATGTATGTGATGGGATTTGTCCTCTCTCTATGTACACAATCGTTACTTTATCTCAATCCTCGAAGATGCTGTATAAGTACGACATTCTTTATTTCAATTTTTTTTTTAATATATATGAATAAAACGCAAATCCTATATCGTTTCCAACTGATAATAAAAAGCAAATTCAGTTGAGATATATAGTCCCATATTGGTCAGATGTGCAACTAATGTGGAGTTTATAAGGTCTTGGGCACTCTCACCCTTTGAGCTAGCTTTTGGGGTGGTGTATCCCAAGGTTCTTAACATGGTATCAGAGCCTCACCGTCCCTCGCTTTAAAAAGTGGAATTAAAATAAAAAAAAAAAAACACAAAAAGGTAAACCAAAAATGGGCCTGTGCAATTCCACGCTTCTAGCCCAAAGGGCTCTTGCGTGAGGGGGCGTGTTGAGATATATAGTCTCACATTGGTCAGATGTGCAACTAATGTGGAGTTTATAAGGTCTTGGGCACTCTCACCCTTTGAGCTAGCTTTTGAGGTGATGTATCCCAAAGTTCTTAACAAATTCTACTTCGGAGAAGACCAGATTTTTTAATATATTTTTGAGAACTTAATTATAAGAGACATAATCTTACAAGTAACGGGTCCCAAAGAATTCCATGTACCTTGAACTTCAAACCCTCTCCATCCCACATATATATATATATATATTCTTGTAGAATGTTGTTAATGTAGTATTTCATAAAAGTAATTATAATAATATCTTAATGAATTAATTATTATTTTCTTAATAAATATTATTATTTATTAAATAAAAACTTAGACCCTTCTCCCTTCACAAAAGTAAAATGTCCCAAGAAGGGTAAGATTACGTTTTATAAAGGCTCTACCATATCCCTCTCGCTCTTATATGAGACTTCCTTACTCACTTTTACCCTTTCATTTCCCAATTTCTCTAACATAACTTCTTATTCATTCACTCATGTAATATCAAATTTCGACACAAAGTGGGAGTGTCATCGATTTGGGGCTGTTGGTATGTTGGAGTCAACTCCAGCTGGTGTCCAGCTCCCAATCAGAAACAGGCAGCCAGCCACCACCAATCAAATGTAGCTTCTTATGTAGGTGATACAGATGTTAAAAACAAGTTAAAAGAAACAGCCCACGGGTATTTTTTAATATTTGAAACTTTTTTTTGACACTTCAACTAAATCTAAATGAGCTTTGCTTGTTTCCTACATATAGATTTGTCGATGATAATATATTATTCAAACTGCGAAAATGGATCTTTTAATTATACCTTATTTCATATAATAATATTTTTCTCTTAACTTTTATCACCATTTATTTGTCTATAAATGATTAGAAGTCTCTCATATAAATATTATCGTATTAAACAATATATGAGATTATTTACTCCACTCTAACTATATAATATATATTGTGTATGTTTATACTTGGTTAGGATTGAATTTGGTTAGTCTTTAACCACATGTAGAATGAATTTTGTAAATCAATTATTATTTCAAAAGTTTAAATTATTAGATGGAGGTAATGAATAATTTTCATTTTATATTATATTTTTAATACATTATCTCACACAAGAATAATTGAACTTGAAATATGAATAATGTACAATCTTTTAACCAGAGAGGGACAATAAGATCCAACTTTGGACCACTTGGACAAAGAGTTTACATAATATCATATTAAACAGTTAATACTACCAAATTATTGAGTTATCAGGGTAAAAAATAATAATAATATTGTATTTTATTATTATATTTTTAACAATATTCAGTTAACGTACTTGACACTGGTGAAAGTGTAAGCCCGCTAAAATAGTCAAATTCCCTATCTCTGTCGTTGTACTTTTTACGTGTAACATTTATCCAGCGTTACAAGAAGGACACTAAATTACATGAGCGCGAGAACTTCTTTATTTATTTCAAGAACAATATATCTTTCCCGCTATCCAAAGCTAATTCGCTTTACCAGTCAACTCAATTTAATCGGAAAAATAGAGATAAATTATTTGTATTTATTTTCAAAATAACATCATTTTGTGATTAAAATATTAAAAAATTATAATTATAAAGATTATAATAACTCTGAAATAAATTAAAATTACAAAAACATTATGATTTTTATTCCAAAACGACGTCATATCAAGTTTATTGCAAATAACTTATCTGTAATAACTGCAGAAAAAATGTAATATATATATATATATGGGTTTTGTTAATCTCCTTCCACATAAGATAGTTATCTAGTTATCTTATGTGGTAGAGAAAAAATGGGTGGGCCCCACCATTATAAGAAAAAAAAGAAAAAAGTGGGGTGCAAAAATCGAAGTGAGAAAAAATGAGATAAGTTACCTCATGTGAAAGGAGAGTAATATTTCTCTATATATATATATATATATAGCGACAGGATCCGTTTACAAATTTTTTTTACAAATACACTAATGTAGGACCGGTCGTACACTGTGTGATTAATGTAGGACCAGTCTTACATAATGTAATTTGTAAGAGTTTGTAAACAAAAAAAATTTGTAAATATAACCTGCTATATATATATATATATATATATATATATATATATATATATATATATGACATTCACTCGTTGCACTTTTATAGAAACTGCAATAAAATAAAAATTATACTTTACAGGACTAAATACACACCCAAAAAAAATGTCGAAATGATTGGAGCATAGAAAAAATAAACATGAAGGAGACAAATCAAGGTAAAGAACGTGATAAAGTTAAATCTGTGTGATAGTTCACGGATTATGATCACGATAAAGTAATAAAGTAATCACGGGGTATGTAAAACAAGGTACAAATGTTAATCAATGACACATAATACCATCTTTCGTACGTTGTCAATGATATAAGGGAAATTTATTTAAATTACTATTTAAATTTTTGAGAGTGAACCATACAGAATACTTACCAAATCCCTTTCGACACCACTCCGATGTAACATTATTTAAGAGCAACACCACTTTCACATCTCATCTTACCTATCAAAGCATCAAGGTAGTACCGAGCATAAAACGTTATGTCCAGAAGACTTGGTCCAGTTTATTTTTGAAAATTAGTTATATTTTTAATGTGCCTAAATTTTTACATAAAATTTAGTATTAAGCTCTACCTAAACTCAATGAATGAGTTGGTTCCGCCATTGCCGAGCGTGCATCTCATCTCATCTAGTTGATGCAAATGGTTTGATGAAGTTATTATCTGTTGGTGAGGTTAATATGGTGTAGGTTGAAATCAAATTAAACCATGACACTTGAGCGGATAAGGATAAATAAAAAGAATAGTATTCTGCACCACTAGGCTATCCCTAGTGGTGTTGGGTGTGTTTAGGGAATGTTAGGTTTGCTGTTCGATTCCATGTACTATCCAAAAAAAAAGAATAGTATTCTAATTAATAGTTATTTATAGCATTTGGCCTAATGACAAATGCTTGATCCAACAATCATTAAATATAAGATATGTTTAGTAGTAATTATTATCTAATGGACTTACCTACATCCCTTATAAATACTAGTCAATTATAAAGATAGAGATATCTTTCACTCCTAATTGAAATTATTACTGATTTAAGAATGTTATTGAAGTTCATTCGATCCTGTGAACTTTTTGACCCTAATCCATACCCGATTAAAGACTAATAGGATGAACTGATCCATTGTGACAGTTCTAGTTTTTCCTACCTCCTCTCCTTTTCAATTTCTTTGATGGAAAAAAAATTGTCTTATTCAATTTCGCTTAGTAAACCAGATACAGTTAAGGATACTAGTTTTATAATCCAGCAACATGTATCTTCTTAAAAAAATTTAATAAAAAATATTTAAGAAAAAGATAGTTATAACATTTTAAGTAAAAGTAGGACACAACTCACAAGTCATATCAAGAGCTTTATAATATCTAACATGCAAGTCTTTCAAATGAAGTACTTTAAATTTTAACTAATTGAACCAAATCCATTGGTAACAGAGATCATGCCAAAACATTGAAACTTTATCTTACGGCTATTCATGTTCCTCACATAAAATTGGACTATCCACTGATGACATAAAATTGAATTTCAGCAGATGGATGCATTTCAGAAGCCCAAATAGAACCAAACACATATAGTCAGTCATATTGCCTCCGTTAGAGATTCTTGGATGGGTCACTTGGATTGAGTCCTCCTCTACTGTTCCAACCCAAAGTCAAGTTCAGCTCGTTTTAACACAGCAATCACTCTATTGTAAAACTCTGGTTCCTTTTTCTTTATATCATCCAATGTTTGGGACTCATGCTCATCCACCTGAGTAGATAAAGAACTACATTATCTTATAAAGTAAAATAATCTGCTTAGGCTTAAATAGTTTATGGTAGTTGAGCACAAAAATGTCAAAACATCGTCTATAAAGAATTATATTCACTGTGATGCTAGTGAATCTGAGAGGAACGGAATTATAATCACTCAATGACCATATCATGGTTAAAATGAAAAATATGACAATATACACCTGCCACCATTTTTTATTTTGTATAACAACCTCTAACAGTTTACACCAATTGCAATTTTATGGCAATATTTTGCCACATATTGCTGAATTTGATAGTCCCAATATGATAGAGTCACAAAATTACCTCTTTGAATTTCAAAAGAATCAAATTTGAAATAGATGCCGGTTTTGTGCGATCCCACCTAAACCAAAAAAAAAATTATAGAACAATTGAGAAAAAATTCCAATGAAAAGAAAAAAGAAAGAACGATATGTTAGACATATATACTAATATAGGTAATATAATATCATTCAAGAAAACATAATTAGAACTATATTACTCAAAAATGCAAATTCAAATTGCAATACAACTGTAGTTTCAACAACTTTTACTACCAATTTAAGTTTATGGCACACAAAACAGTGAAACACAGTCGCAAATAATTTATATTATGAGAAAAGTAATATCTTGAAATATACAATTTTAATGAAAAGAAAAGAAGTGCAAGCTTTGAGAGTGCTTCAATACAAGGAATAAGAGAACAACCACAAAGAACTAGGCATGCACATTTTAGACTGAAGTAATAGATAAAGACGCTTCGGAAGGAACACGTTTACATCTAAAAGAAAGAATGTAACCAAATGAGGTAGCTCGAAAATGACAAATAAACGACAATGTAGGCAAAGACCACCTTATACCTAACAAGCATTAATTCATTAACTGATCGCCACATTCCTCGTCCAACATCTTTCGCAAGCTGCTCTCTAGCACTTCTTCCATGCCATAGTTCTTTAACAATGTACATTACTTCTTCAACATCTACCTAGAAAACAGAAACAGAGATGATAAATAAAAGAAAATTCATTCTCATTATTTATTTATTTTATTAAGAAAATCATATATATGTCGACACACCACAAAGATTTTCGTATAAAATTCAATCTCTCCACTTTACAAAGAGATCAACTTAGGACTTTTTTTGGCCGAGCTTTTGTATGGTATGCTGATCATACTAATCATGCATTATGCAAGAGGTAAGTTTTTAGGTCAATCGAACTTTGCCACACTGATTTATCATTCTTATTGCACTTTAACCGATTTATAAAATCATGCAATTTTCCTGTTGATTGAATATGACTTTTTGCAATGTCCCCTACCCCTCATTATGCATCGATATGGGTATGGATATCAGATACAACATCAGCACAACTCTGGAACATGGCTTTTGTTAACAAATTAGGATGGGGATGCGATGGGATATGACATAATATTTATACAAAACATTATATATAACATCTAATAAAACATATATATATAAACATAATAAGACCTCATAGATAAAACACAAAAGTTGGGCCACTCCATGATCGAGGGAAAAGGAGGAGAAAAAAGTTTTTGATTTTAATTTAGTCATTGAAAATACAATACAAACTAACATTTATCAAGTATCCGAGCTTCTGGTACAGTATCGATATCAAATTCGTATGTAACACCGGTACAGCAGATATTTTAAAATATCTGTGCTTCCTAATTCGCACAATTATGAGAAGCATTTACACAATGAGTAACTTTTCGATATGGAAAAAATACTTAAAAAGACCTTCTAATTATGCTGAAAGAAAGTTGTTTGTGTCTCCTATGATGACTTTTGGTTATGATTGAAAGCGTTGAATTGGTCTCTGTTTATATACATTACCCCTGTATGTGTATCTCAAAATTGTTAGTAAACCATTAAATTTGAAATTTGAAAACAGGGTTAACATTGCAAAGAGTCAGATTAAATTAGAAGGAAAGTGCTTAATTGTATACAGGAAGGGGACAATGTGCAACTGGATGAACAGAATAGGGTGGCAATATGCAACTGATCCTAAATATTTTTCAAAGAATCTCTTGAAAAGGTTAAGATATCACATTTACCAAACCAGGAAGTAGTTATGAAACAAAAAGTTAACGGGGTGGACTTCATACCTGCACTTGCATGGATGTTCCATACAATAACTCCTCATGCTCAATAAGGCGTTGATGAAGAATATGGTAATGATCCATGTCAAAATTTACTATGGGTTCTGTTTGAACATGAAATCCTGCTAAGTCTGTCACAACATAGGAGGCCATGATTTGTCCAAATATTGCAGGGATGGTGCCTAGCACAGGTATTATACGGACCCTAAAACCTGGCACTATCTGGCAAGAGGACCAATAAGTCAGAAACGTAGCCAGTGCCACTAAATGTTCTGATAACAAATAAGCATTGGTTTGACATAAAAGAAAAAAAATTTAAACTTAATGTTTATGATAATTAAACAGTTATATATTTTATAGGTAAATGACAGATTATTGCAAGGTCGCAGTGGGCATCTTACTATAGCGGGTATACAAAAAACAGAGTGAGAAACTGACGGTGATCTATGTCAGTCAACAACAACAAATGGAAAAGATGTTTATTATATTATTAAAATATCACAAAATTGGTAGAGGTACAATCAGTGGGTGACTAAAACAAATGAAATAAATAAACTCACCTGGTAATCTGAAGGGTTTTCCTCTTCTCCACTTGAACCCTTAAATGGAAGCAGCTTAGCTTTGGGTTTTTCTAAAGAAAACACAACAGGAATCCCGCCTTCAATGCCATAATCTTTCCTTAAACGGTGTCTTACCTAAATAGATATTACTTTAGTAAGAAAGTTATATACCTAATACTAGTGATAAGAAATTAAAAACAAAGAAAAGCATAGTTGACAGATGAAGTCAATCAGTTCTGAACTACCTGCCACCTAGTTGGAATTTGTGGACACACAAATGAAGTTAGTCCCTTTTCTCTAAGATTATTGACAAGACATTTTCAAAACAAAAACAGAAAGAAGTATAACAATTTCCCCAGTCTTCCTATTTTTTCTTGATTAGTTGACAGTAAAATTTCTGCATTGAGTACTTAAAAAGAATAAAAAATTCTGCATTTTTTTTTTACTTCTGCCAATTGCCAAATTTGTCATTAATTGAAGTGTTAGATTAATAGATTTCCTCCTTCATTTGTTTACTTCTTGATGTCCAAACAAGAATTACACTTTAAGGTAGTCATCACATGATTTTGCTTTTCCTGACAATCATTACAATCATTTATTAAATATTGATAGTTGTCAAAGATTGAACCATGTAAACTTAAAAAAAAAAAAAAAATACAAAAGAACCCAGCAACACAAGTTCAACATGCGGAAAAATGTTTATCAATCGTAGGCTTGAAATAACATATGAAAGTAATGACTATACAGATAATGCATGCCAGCACTTAACAGTAGAAGATCAACAGGACAGCTAAAGTTTTAACATCATTTTGAAAACAATTGATCTAAAATCAGATAGTAAAAGGAAACAGGTCCTTATAAGTCAAGCTTTATTTACATTACCATTGATTAAAATTAGCATAATGTAAAAATTTTGTAACTCAGAAATCCTTGTACTAGCCATCAACCAGCAATAACAAATTAAAATATTTTTTTAAATGAAACATAATATTAGCTAATTGAAAAGACAGGTGACAAAATGCAAAATGGGATGTCATCAAGTGAAGGAAATGAAACCAAAAGAGAAAGATTACCATAAATGTCAAATATCAACAACTGTTGTTCCAAAAATCACCAAAGAAAGGCCAATAATTCCATATTCTTTAAAGTAACCAAGATGTTAGAAACCAATCATTTAAAAATTATATTTGTCAGTCTTTGCGCACACTAGTGCACCTTTCTATAAGCATTAGCATTTAAATTTTAAATAGTAACTAGCACACAGTGTGGAAAGGCAAGACATTAGTTTACTTTTGGGATAATCAGGAATTTAGGATGTACATCTACAAGAAGGAATGAGAAGTGGTGTTAAACAGCCACAGTAATTAATATATATGGTTTAAATTTCTTGAAAAAACAATAAAAAAAATGCATATAAGGGAATATTACAGCTCGAGATAATGGATCATTAGTTGACTCTCTTAAATCAGCAATGCGTATTCTTGTTGGATCAGCTCTGGCACCAGCCCCAGTGGCAGATAGAACCTTCAAACCCCTACGTACACATGCAGCAAGGAGAGCCACCTATTACATATGACAATTCAAGCAATTGAAAGTTCAAACTCATAAAATCCATATATTTGAAAATGAACTATTGTTAATATAAGGAGCATAGCAGAAAAATTTAGTTTTTTTATTAAGCCTTCCACTCCAGCAAAATCATATTGGCATATGAAGTTATGTACAAATATAAACAATCCAGCATGCGACATTCATATATGCATCCCAAAATTTTGCATTTTTGCAGCTTAGAAGCTAAAGCATTGAAAGGAAATGAAAAGACAACGAACATATGAGAACCATTAGCAACAGAGGAGAAAAGCTCTCACAACAGGAGAGTGTGGTACGTCTTTGCACAGGAAAGATATGATAGAAGGGCAGTATGAACTTATAACAATACAAACAGGAAGTAATCGTTAGAGGATACTGGATAGATAAATCATAAGAGGATACCTTCGTATCAATGTTATCAATACAGTCCAAAACAAAGTCAGGGTGGCCTGAGAGAATTTCTTCTTCGGTAGATGAATCATATAATAGCACTTTTGCATCTATTTGACACTCCGGAAAGATAGATAAGAAATGCTCCTTAAGGCACTGAGCTTTTGAGATGCCAACATCTGCTCTTGTCGCAACAGCGTGTCGATTTAGTGATGAAAGAGAAACCTTCTCATTTAATAAATAAATAAGTAGAGATGTTGTATGGAATTGGAATGTCTATACAAATTCTAAAGCTAGGCAAATTTGACACCAGAAGTTATAACTACTTTCTCTTCTTATTCCTTTGTTTTACAAAATCCTTGTTAAAAAAATTGCTCACGAGTTTTAGGCTTGAGGTTCTTGAGTCTGTAATGCCATGCATTATAGTAAATAACAATAAAGGCTAGTAAAGATTGGCATTTAATGTGATTAGATTAACTCTCAAATAAATGAAATATTATTCACAATAACTAAAAAGCAAAAGAATCAATCAATCAACAACACCTTTATCCCAAACTAATTGGGGTTAGTGGTAGATGAACCCAAATGAAAGGTACAAAGAGATAAAAAAAATAAAAAAAAATAAACAAATAACAATAATAGTATATAAAAATAAAAGGGGTGTAAAACTAAATAAATTAATTAATTCCAACCAGAACTCCAGTTTCTTACTTTCTTACACTATGATTGTTGATAAAATTTGCATCTTTGATCTTTACAGTAGTAAATTTCAAAACTTATATCTATCACAATATGGCCCTGCACTATAAGGCATACAAAATACCAGCCAAAATAAAGAAAGGAAGTTTCAAATAACATTTAAGAGATATGACAATGGTGTTTCACAAAGTAACACAATTAAAATTTTCCTGTTAGTCAGTGACATCAAAATATTCAACCATGACAACTTAGGAGAGCCATAACTTTTTATGTAATAGCCAATGGGGAAGATTTGGGCATCAAAAGGTTGAGATTCCGATAATAGTACAAGTACCAACCAAACCAGGCAAGAAAGGCCCACAAAGAAAACACATAAAAAGCCACACAAGAATAAAGGAAGAAAAATTAAAAATTATCAAGAGGATAATCAGTCAGAGAAAAAACCTGGTCAAAGTCCACAAGAAGCAGCTTGCCAATCCCTGACCTCAAAAGCATAGAAGCAGCATGACTGCCTACCCCTCCAAGACCAATGACCACAACATGTGATGCAGTCACTTTCTGCTGAGACTCAAAGCCAAAAAACTGAATGTTCCTAGTCACAGCATAAACGTTCCACCCCAAAAATAGATTGATTAGAAGTAATTGAAGAAAAAATAGACATATCAAGTAAGTGCCACCCACATACACCCAATGTAGATAATTCATGTCTTGAGTGAAAACATGTAATATAAACAAATCTAAAAAAAGGCATTAGGATATACAAAAAAAAAAAAGCATTAGGTATGGCAGATGATGTGTTGGTAGTCCTAAAATCAAAGACAAGAAAATTTCCCACTAGCCCCACCAACCAAAAAAAAAAAACCTAAACTTTTTATTTCTCTCCACTCAACTCACCCACATCAAGCAGGCCAGAGAAACATGCCACAAATCAATGCAATAACTAAACAACAGTCCTTCCAAGTGAAAAAGTCATGTCTTCTGAAATTGAATCAGTGTAATAGCATTTCATTGGCTGTCCAAGATGGTGGGACAGTATGGAATGTGTAGACATGTACTGATATGCAAGTTGGAATCATGCCATGTCCAGCCTAAATTAAATGCCAAGACACACAGATTATAATAATTAGCTCTAAACATAAAGAGGAAGTACATTAATGATTGATGTATGAGTATGAATGCTAAAACTGTCCTGCACAAATAAAGAGCTCATAGTCTAATAAAACTAAGATTGCAGGTACTTAGAGCTTGTTTTACCAATTAAGTTTACAGTACATTTACATTCGAACTGCAGAGAAAATGTCAAAATAATAGGCAACAACTTGCAATATACCTAGTCAGCTGTTCTGAAACAATTTCATCATTTAGAATATCTTCATTAACCACCTTATCATTCTTCTTTCCAGCAATAGTGCCACCCTCAACACCTGTATGAGACACAAAGTCCAACATTTATGTAAGGATACACAGAATAGCAGTTTTACTAACTTTATGATGTGAAAGTAAGATTAAGAAAGAGAAGAGCATTAGTCACATATCACAAGTTGTTTATAACTGACAACACATTAACAGTCTTCTTTAACGTAAGTACATGATCCTGCAAATGAACAGGATGTGAGACATAACAGGTAGTAAACACTCTGTGCCTTCAAACCTCTGATCACCTCATAAACCAACTATTAATTGGAATACCTGCACTACAAGCACTAAATTCAAGAAATTATCTCATACAGGATAAGGGTTTTATTTTTCATTTGGTAATTACATCAGTGAAAGTAAAAACATCACGCAATTCATGGAAGGGAACAAATCAGAAGGGATCGATCACTATGTCACGTATTCAGATTCAGCCTGCAATACTACATCCCTGGCACCCAAATATTGACATTTACAAAATATCAACATTTAAAATTTAAGCATTGACATATGGTGACTACTTGCAACTTCAACTCGCCTATATTGATGAGCATGTCAATGTAAAAATTTTATAAACAAAGATCTTCATTTTAGGCAAAGACGAAGGGCATAATTCAAAATCAAGGATCATAACAAAAGAAATGGAGATAACTTGGTTACAGCTACTCACTTCACAGTTTAATTCCAGGAAACTTACCATTTAGGTCAGTAGTAGCATTCTCACTACATTGCCGCACAACTCTTCTGCAAATACCACAACATACATTCAGTACCATTCAAAGTACAATAAAAACGCCCAAGGCCAAAGCAAATTTAAATATCCCTTTAATCAAAGACCCAAAAGCTAAAGAAATTGATCCAACCAAACCCATCATGTTAATTAAGACAAAGTTTCAATTTTTAAGTAATACACGTTGTTTTAACCAGCCTTTTTTTTGTGTGGGGGTGGGGGTGTTCCAACAAGGAGTGTATCAGTGTGTAGTGTCATTGTAAAATACTTAGGAACAAACAAAAAACAGTAAAGTTGTTTGGAAGGTGGTTCATAATGAATGGGAAGGAAAGGAAAGTGATATGATCAGAAGACATGAGAAGAAAAGGGTGAAGAAGGAGGAGCAACTTACTTAGGAGTATGAAGAAGCCTAAGAAGAAAGAAGGTAGAGACAGACCCCAAAATAGCACCGCCACCCACCAATGCTAAATATTTCCCTCTCTCCATATTCTCTTCGGCCTTCGCTGTGAGGAGGAAACGCCGGCCTAATTCCAGGTTCTCCGGTTCGGTTGGGTTTATACTTATCGTCGTCTCGGGTAGACCGGCTCAGGCCGAAGCTCTACTCTATTGAACCATAATGTGGGTGAAAAGAAATTCAGGGAAGATTTTAAATTATAAATTTCAAAAAAAAAAATTAAAAATCGCTGTGATTTACTTTAGGGGAATAATATTGTAACAATCAATTAGTGTTACTACCAATCAATTTTACCGTTAAATTGATTATGTTGATCCAACGATTATATTTATTTCCATCTTTGTATGATTATGATTCCTCATATTTAATACTTTATATTTATTTTTACCTTTTTATGGATCAACATAATCGATCTAACGGTAAAATTGATTGGTAGTAACATTAATTGGTTGTTATAATATCTTATTCCTTTAATTTATTTTTATTTAAATTTTCAATACATATGTTAGAAAGTTAAGAAGAGATGCTACCGATTTATTAATTATTCAACTAAATTAATTCAAATCCGAACAAATTATAAGGGTGGAAAAATTATTCTTACTTAATATTTTACACAACTAACTCGAATTTTTTTAATTAAATTAAAGCAACCCATATTAATTGATTCACCTACTAATATATAGCATGCAAACACCATAAATTGTTGACATATTGAACAACTAGTAGTTGGGAAAATTTCATTTTCACTAATTGTGATTTTGTGATTTATTATTTGAACTCATGTGGTTTTAAATATATCACTTGAACTTATTGTACTTGAATAATTTATCATTTAACCTCTCATGGTTTCGAATTTTCACGTGAACACCTTATTGTTAGAAAAAATTTCACTTAGACCACTTGTGATTACAAAAATAAAAATTTTAAAAAATAAATATTTAAAATAAATGTTTCCTCTTTGTTTTTTTTGTTTTTTTTGGTAAACATAACGGGGAAAGCCCCCAAGACCAACTCAAGTTAAAACAACTTTACGAGAATTACATACCAAAGAAAAATCTGCCAAATATAGTGGCAAAATACCAGGGGGAGAGGAGCTAAAAATACACAAATTATCCTCTATTACATGGTCCAGTGGATACTTAGATAGCCAATCTGTACAGCTATTATTTTCTCTATAGGTATGAATAAGTTGAACATCCCAATCTTTCTTCAACCAAGCTCGAATGTGAGCAACCAATCTGGACTCTCGAGCTGCTCCCCCATTTTTGGTGAGCAAAGTGATAACTGAACTAGAATCACTTTCTAAGATGCAACGTCTCCAACCCCCAATCCAAGCAGCTTGAAGACCCTTGAGAACACCCTATAATTCAGCCATAAAAGCTGAACATTGGCCAATATGATACGCCAAACCATGAAGCCAGCGACCAGATTCATCTCTTAAAATAGCCCCACAAGTAGCCCCTCCACCATTACTTCTAGCCGCTCCATCAGTATTTATTTTAATCCAACCAGACTCCGGAGGTTCCCATCAGACAGAAATAATTCTCATTGATTTTGTAAAACTCATACTCAAATGATTCCCCCAAGCTAAGGAGAACTTTTTTACCTTTGCTTCAATGAAATGAGTTTTGTACTCAAAAAAATTCAAGTCTTTTCCATGTACAATTTCATTTCTCCACCACCAAGCATTCCAAATAGTAACAATAAAAATCATAGACCAGGGAGCATTAAATCAAACCTGGGAATCATTCTTCAAGTTCCTTATAAGCCAAAAACATCAAAAAATTCATTTGTTTCATCCTGCCCAAGCAACTCCAACCAAAGTTTTTTGATACTACTACAATCTCTAGCCATATGCAAAATAGTTTCATCTTCCAAGCTACACAGAGGGCAGGTAGCAGGGGTCATATTCATTCTACACAATAAATTCCTTGTTGGGAGTCTATGATGAGCCATCTTCCAAACAAACAAGCTAATGCGATTAGGTACTTTTAACTTCCAAATTAAGAACCATATTGTATTGTCATGTACGTCTACCTCTATATGATTCATCAAAGCATTGTAAATATTTTTTACTGTAACCCTACTAAAACCCGGAAGCATCCAAGCAATTCTATCAGCACCACTTGATTCATGAGGGGGGGACAAGGCTCCTAATAACTTGGATGATTTCTTGAGGAAGAAAATTGGAAAAAAATTCACAATCCCATTCACCCTCACCATTGACATACTCTGCAACCACTTTGTCAAACTCCAGTTAAGGAATAGGAATGAAAGCTTTATCTACTAAGCTACACTCACCATCCACCCATTTGTCTCCCCAAAAAGCTAATGATTTACCATCCCCATCATCCCAAATCAGGTGCGGTTTTAGTTTATTCCAAACAGCACAAATAGACTTCCGCAGATAAGAGTTTCCATTCGTACACCTCATCCCATCATAAACATTCCCATCATGAATATATTTAGCTTTTAAAACTTTAACCCAAAGCTGGTTAGAATCATTCAAAAAAGCCCAAATTAATTTTCCAATAAAGGCTTCATTCATAACAGCACGCTTTTTAAGTCCTAAACCTCCTGTATTCTTTGGCTTTGTAATAACATCCCAACCAATAAGATGCATGTGTTTTGCTCTATTAGAATCATTCCAGATAAAAGACCTCATCAACTGCTCCATCTCATTACAGATACTCTTGGGGATCATAGTGCTCTGCCTATGATAATAAGGTATTGCACCTAAGACAGATTGAGCAAGGATTACTCTTCCTGCTTTAGAGAGAGAATGAGCCTGCCAACTATTCAGCCTGTCCTTCATCCTTTCAATAATTCCAGCAAACAAATTTTTATTTACTCTACCATGGTTTATCATTGCCCCCAAATATCTTCCCACATTAGAAACCCTTTTAAACCCACTCACATCAGTAACTCTTTTTGCAATATCATCAGGAGTATTTTTAGAAAAATAAATACTTGTTTTCTGTTGACTAACCTTTTGCCGAGATATTTCACCAAATAAATTCAGACATCTGAGAAGAACTTAAATCTGCTCCCCACTAGCTTCAAGAAACAGCATCAAATCATCTACAAAGAGCAGATGAGAAATTTTTGGCCCCCTTTTTTCTGCTCTAATCGACTTCCACATGCCACCATTAGCAGTTGTATCAATGATGTGAGAAAGTTTTTCCATAGCTAGGACAAACAAATAAGGGGACAAAGGCTCCCCTTGTCTTATACCTTTACTTGTCTGGAATTCCTGTCAAGTTGCCATTCCAAATTACACTGGTCCTTGGACTACAAATAGCTACCATAATTAATTTAATTAAATGATCTGGTACCTTAATCTCTTCCAAGATTAGCCGAATAAAATTTCAGTTAAGACGGTCATAGGCCTTCTCCAGATCAACCTTAACTGTCATGAAACACCTTTTCCCCTCATTTTCCTCATAGAGTGAACAAGTTCTTGAACAATAATAATATTGTCTTGAATATGTCTCTGAGGAACAAAACTTGTTTGAGCTGGAGACACCACTTTAGTCATAATTGGCTTTAATCTATTTACAATGATCTTGCTAACAATCTTTTAAACCACCGGGCAAAGAGAAATAGGCTGAAACTGAGTAATCAGAGATGGATTCTGGAACTTAGGAATAAGAACCAGAAGGGTGGAATTAATAGAAGCCAACATCTCAGGATAATTCCAAATTTGCTGCACTAGGGAGCAAACTTGAGATTTAATAAGATCCCAATTTTTCTTATAAAAAATGGCAGGAAAACCATCAATCCTTGGAGCTTTAAAATTGCCCAAGTTGAAAACCGTATGCTTTATTTCCAAATCAGCCGGATACTTACCGAGGCAATCCATATCTCTCCTAGAAAGATCTGGCCACAAGTTCTCAGATGTGATCCATCTTCTATACTTAACATCTTCAGTAAATAGAGTTTAAAAAAAATTATAGGCCAAAGACTTAAGCTCCTTTGTTTCAGAAACCCAGGCACCATTGTCATTCCTTAGTCTAAAAATTTTATTTGAGCTCCTCCTTACAATTGTACTTAGGTGATAGAATATTGTGTTTCTATCCTCATCCACTATCCACTTTTGGTACCTGTAAAGTTCCTCCTCTTTAAGGACATCTAACAGTAAACTTTGACAATTTTCCTCCATTCTCTTCAAATTATCCGAATCATTCAGCTCACGCTCACCCTGAATCTGAGCAATTCCATTAACAAGACTACTTTTCCTTCTATCAATGTTGCCAAAAACTTCTCTGTTCCACAATTTAATATTCGGTATTATCCTTTGCAGCATATATGGTAAATCAAAATCATTATCCCACTTTGCTTTCATAAAATCATTAAAGGAATAGTGCTCCTGCCAAATTGCAAAGAAACGAAATGGCCTCATGCTTCTATCTCTGGCATCTTCAAAGAGCTTGATAATAAGAGGATTATGATCAAATAACAAACGAGGAAGAGCATAGACTCTGGCTTCCTCAAACATAACTCTCCAATCCAGATTAGCCACCACCATATCTAGTCTTTTAAAAATTCTATCTAGATTCGCCCATTTTGGACCTTGCCAAGTAAATAGAGAACCATCACAGCCCATATCAGCTACTTTACAATCTTCAAGAACTTGAGGAAACTTACCACACCTTGATGAATCAGCCCTGACACCTCCTTTTTTTCCATGAGTAAATGCAATTTCATTGAAATCTCCTCCTGGGATCCATGGATCAGAAATAAAGGTATTGAGATTACGCAAATCATTCCACATAATTTCTCTCAATGCTTGAGTAGGACTAGCATAAATAGCTGTAAAATAAAAAGGCTGGCCCGAAGGTATTTTTACATTACAGTGAATCAATTGGGAGGTTTTGGATACCAAACCTATTTCAACTTTTTTGCTATGCCACATGATCCAAATTCCACCAGCGAACCCAACAGCCTCTTCCACAATTGAGCTATCAAAACCTAGTTTTTTTAGGATCTTATTACACACTCTACTTTGAGTCCTAGGCTCAAGCAGGACAACAATGTCTACATTATTCTTCCTAACCATTATCTTAAGGGCTCCACCAAATTCTCTTTTGGCAGCCCCTCTAGAGTTCCAAATCAGAAAATTCATTAATAACTAATTTGATTAAATGCAGATTTAAGGGATACCTGCTCCTTTTGACTCTTTTGCATGAAAGTTTCTGTTCCAGCATTATTTTGAAGACTATCACTTGCTTGATTCTCTTGATGCTTATCCACCGTCATCACATCTGAAGGCTTCGGTTCATGTTCCCCTTTACACAGTTTCTGATCTAAACTTTCATTGTCCAAACCTTGGTTCAAAATATTAGATTTTGAACTGCCAATTGAAGGTTGCAACTTTGCTTCAGAATTCATATTCCTAGAGATTTCTCCTTCCTTAGACTCACTCATTTGACTTGGTACTGTTTGGGAGGACAGATTTTTACCTCTGATCCCAACCTTTCCTCCATCAGAAACTTCTTTAGATAAATTCAAATTATCTCCCTCCTTAGTATCCCCCACCAATAAGAACTTTGACTTAGTTTCAACCAAAGAAACAACATTGGATTCTGATTTTCTGCTTTTGGATTGAAGAGAGCTCTGATTAGGATCTTGATAAACAACCATCGTACCTGCTGTTTGACCTTTAACTACCTCGACTTCCTTATTCCTCAACACCTCAAAATTATTAGCCCCCTTTTTGCTATACTGACTTTCTTTCCCCTTAGCAGCTTCATTTTTCCTTATCTGATTGCCTCTATCTTTCCTTCCTCTTATCACCAGCATCCAGGGACCAAATTTAGGATTTTCCTCCCTTGAATTTGAGGGTGAATCCTCTTTATTACTATGATCCTCCAGCCTACCATCATCTGTGTTTGGAACCTGCTCAGCTACTTTTTTGTTTGGGCAATTCTCCCTTCCATGTCCATACATCCCGCACTGATAACAGATTAGGTGCAACCCCTCATACTCAACCTTCTTGATTCTGCCATCCACTTTAAAATCCACTTGCAGAGGCTTGCTAAGATCTAATTCAACACACATTCTTGCAAATCTACCTCTTGCAAGAGAAGTAGTAGCTGCATCCAGTTTAATAAATTTTTCCAGCCAATTCCCTATATCCTTAATCAAATCAGTGTTCACATATTCCATAGAAAATTCAGGGAGCCTAACCCAAACCATAATTCTATTGACTGTTGCCTGGAAAGGCTGGAAATCAGGTTCCCAAGACCTGATCGCTAAATAATGATAAAAAATAATTCATGGTCCCGCCATAAGTGCGAAATCCATGTCTTTTTTTTTTTTTTTTGTCAAAACGGACCAGAAAGAAATCGTTTTCCAAGTCAGTTACTTGAATTCGACCCTCTTTAGCCCACATATTTTCTAATATTTTCTCTTTGTTATTTTATATCTCATCTAATGCATTCATGGTTTAAAAAATAAAAAAGTTCACTTATTTTTATCAAAAAAATAAATTCAAATCAAATTTTATTTTATTTTATCTATTTTTTACCCAATATCGTTATAAAATTATCTAAAGAAAGTAAATATCTTATTTTGATAATACATATTTAATTTATCTTAAATAATATTTTTTAATTTCAAATATATTTTTAAAATTAAAAAAATTACTATAATTTATAAATTAATTTCAGAGTAAATAACTTAAAATATTTTTTAAACCCTAAATGCATTACAAGAGGATATAAAATAAAAAACAGAAAAAAATATTTTAAATATGTAGTTTTTAAACTACAAGGGGTCTAAGTGAAACATTTTGTAACCACAAGGGTCTAACTAAAAATTTGAAACCATAGGTGGTTAAATGATATATTATTTCAGCATAGTAGGTCTAAGTGATAAGTTTAAAATCACAAGGGGTCAAATGACAAATCACAAAATCACAATGGGTGAAAACAAAATTTTCCCTTGGTATTTTAACCCGATTTCATGAACCAAGTTCCTTCATTATAGGAAACAGTATCAAACATTTTTTGTGTCAATACATCACAAAAATTTGTTTTTCTAAAGCCCCGAAACAATTTAAGATTTTAATGTATTCATTGAAAATAATTTGAGAAATTTTCTAATTTTCATGTAATAAAACTTAGAAATTCAGATTTAAAATTTTCTTCGAATACTCAATGAAAACATGCATATGATATATGATTAGAAAACTCTCGTCGTGTAGAACAAAAACCCCAAGATTTTCAAGACCAATAGCAAAAAATTTCAAACGAAATTTTATAATTAACTTTAGGTTCTATATACAAATTTCGAATTATAAATAAAAAAATGTGTGAGTCTTATAATCATATTTGCATAGTTCTGATATTAAATAAAAAAGTTAATTTTCAGCCCAAGAACAGGAACGAGAATAAGCTAATGCATGGATGGCTAATATAAATATGTGGAGAGCTGCTGCTTAGTAGAATATAAGTTACATCAAATTCAAATTACTGATTGAAAAAATCATATTCTGTTTTACTTTTTTTATTAATATCATTTCTTTTATTTACTTTTTTTATTGACTCTTATAATTTTAAATGTTTGTTAAAAATTTATATGATTTTTTAAAATCTTATAAATTCATATTGTCATTTCAAATTTTATAAATTCGCTTAAAATTCTTTAAAATCCAATCTTAGAAAATATTGATTGTAAAAAATATTTAAAATCACTACAATTTTAAATAATTTTTCAAAATCTATAAAATTTTTTATCTCAAAATAATATTTTAACGGACAGGTTATATTTACAAACTTTTTTGTTTACAAACTACACTATATTTTCTCCGGAGAACATAAAACATACTGTAATTTATAAAAAATTTCTTTGTAAATGGATATGTCCCTATATTTTAAATCATAATCCAATACATCCTCTTATGATTCTTTTTAAAATCCTCTGCCGGTGTGATTGTTCGTTTCACCCGATCCATAACAATTGGTTCGGGTTAAATTACCCGGTTGCGGTTTGCGAACCCCTTGTTTTTCCGGGGTAATGGAGACTATAGTTTGATTTGAAAGATGAATCCGTAAGATTATCAATTCAACAATTTTCTGGGTGTTAAGGTTTCAGTACAAAGTTTGCTCCTTTTTCAATCGTTTCCCTCTACGCCTCACTTACCTTCCAAAGAACAGGGAACATGGATGCGCAAGCCAAGAAAAAGGCATATTTTCGTGCTAAATTGAATGCCCAGAAGAAGGAAAAACGCATAGAATCTCCCCTTGTTAGGTTGGTACTTGCTGCACTCCATTCATCTTTCTCTTCTGACTTCAATTCGCTTTTCCCCCTTCATAACATCGATTCACTGAGCCTTTTGCAAATTTGCATATAATAAAATTGTTAATTTGTTACCCAATATACTGCTTTAGCTACAAACTAACTTTTCATGGTTTTATTTATTATTCTTCATATTAGAATGGCACTTTAATCTTTAAACACCTGCAGTTCTGCTTATGAACTGAGCTATGCCCATTCATTGATTTGGTTAATTTTCTGTTGATGTATATTTTGGAAGCTATGTTTGAGTTTGCAACAATGTTAAATACCCCCACTCACTCCTGTTATGATTTGCATCTTATTATAGCTACTCACATACTTGTTTGTGCTTGTTAAGACATTCCTATTTCTTGGCTCGGCATAAGATTATACTATCACAAGATGATTTTTTTTTTTTTTTTTTTTTTGGTATTCTATTATTATTTTGACTGTTTCTGTCTTTATGTGCATGTAAATACAGGTATAATGAATTTGATCAGCCCGTTTGCCGGGTTTGTGATGTTGCTCTGAAGTCTGAGTCTATATGGGATGCACACCAAGTTTCTCGTAAGCATCGTGAGGTGATAATATGTACAATCTAGTTCATGTACAGTCTAGTTCATGTTATGCAGATGTGGTTACATATTTAAACCATCTCTTGGCTTATGTTTAGATTATCTTATTATAATCGTTTTAGGGGGGGTGCCCTATTATGATTTGTTTCACTTTGTGTTTGTTTCACAGCCTCCCCACCCCAAAATGAGCTTACCTTAATGGAATGATTATTTTGGACAGGCAATAAGTAATCTTAAAGCTAATGCAGCTGGATCAACTCAGCAGAACATTGCTAAGCCTGTTACAGATACCATCTTTCTCAAAGCTAAACCAGAACAGCCTTCAGACTCACAATCCAAAATACCTGAATGTTCACGAGAAGTGCCTAAACCTCAGTCATCATCTATGCTTCCACCAGATTTTTTTGACAATAGTGATGCAAGAAAGACAAGATCTGGTAAGGATTTGATTTAGAAAAATGAAGTTATAGGCTCATTGTTGCACTTGCACGCTACAGGCACTGATAATTATGTTTGTTCATATACGCATATTTTGTGTGTAGATATATAATATCCAGCTTGTTCATTTACACACAATTGCAGCTCATATAATAAGAGTAAAATTCCTTTTTTTTCCCCTTGGAATTTCCACTTCTTTTGTAACTTATTTGATAGAGAATTTTCTGAATTGAAGTCTATTTTTTGGGTCTCATTGACAATGTTCATTTGTCTTCTTATTCAGACAAAAGGATTTGGTCTCTTAACCCTTTCAGGGCTGTTTTCTTACATACCTTTTTTCCCATTTCTAACTCATTTGTTATATAGAACTACTTTCCATCTTGAAAACCCTTCAGTAAGTCCAAGCTCTTTCTAAGGTCTAAACTTTTATTTGGACTGAGGTGCTTAATAGAATTAATACTAATGACATGTTATAGGTTCATGGGCCTCAAAAGGCTGATGCTTGTTCAGAAGTGGTCCCTCATTGGTTTTTACATTGTTTGCTTCCGCTTCTTTATGGTATACATTGTTTTATTTTATTTTTTCTGTTGTGGAGGATCCCTTGTCCTTCAATTTCCTTGCAATTTTCTTCTCTTCGTCTTAATGAATTTCTTCATGTATAAGATATAATTCTTAAGAGTAAGACATCCATATGCTTGGACTTTGAGAAGATTGGAGATGTGTTATGTAACATCCCGGGCGCTGACGAGGGCGGGGAGTGATCGCCGGTGCGAAAGGGCATGGTGTGAAAGTGCACAAACAAGGAGCGGCTCCTGTCAAGCTTCTAGGGACGGGGGTACATGAATGAATCGAATCAACACCCGAAAGAGAGGGATTCCAGAGACTGTGCTGGTATGGGACAGTACAGTTGGGAATAGCTTATGAGAATTAATTGGTACTACCTATACAAACAAGATGCATCTGCTTTTCGGTAGCCCGGAACGGAAGAACTCCATAGTTAAGCGTGCTTGACTTGGAGCAATTCTGGAATGGGTGACCTGCTGGGAAGTTTTCCCGAGAAGTGTGCGAGTGAGGAAAAAAGCACACTGAAAAGTCTCGTGTTAGTATGTGGGGCTAGTCGTTGATTCTTGAAGCGGCCGGACGTTACAAGTGGTATCAGAGCAGGGCCTCTCTTCCAGTACGGTGTGGTTCGAGGACGAACCAGGCGAAAACTGGTGGGCATGTAACATCACGGGCGCTGACAAGGGCGGGGAGTGATCGCTGGTGCGAAAGGGCATGGTGCGAAAGGGCACAAACAAGGAGCGACTCCTGTCAGGCTTCTAGGGACGGGGGTACATGAATGAATCGAATCAACACCCGAAAAAGAGGGATTCCAGAGAATATGCTGGTATGGGACAGTACAGTTGGGAATAACTTATAAGAATTAATTGGTACTACCTATACAAACAAGATGCATCTGCTTTTCGGTAGCCCGGAACAGAAGAACTCCATAGTTAAGCGTGCTTGACTTGGAGCAATTCTGGGATGGGTGACCTCCTGGGAAGTTTTCCCAGGAAGTGTGCGAGTGAGGAAAAAAGCACACTGAAAAGTCTCGTGTTAGTATGTGGGGCTAGTCGTTGATTCTTGAAGCGGCCGGGCGTTACATGTTAGTCTTTTTATACAGAATGATTGTACACAACAGTTGGCAGTATACTGCTTGTGAATGAATGCTACTTTTTGGGTATTTTTAATCTGCCAAAATTTGTATTTTGATAAATAACAATAATCATGGCATTTTTAGATTTTATAGGAGTAAATGAACCAGGTTGTTTGTGTCTAGGATGTCATATATATATATATATATATATATATATATGGAATAGGATTATTTTACACTTACATAAGTTACACTTTCAATCTTAATTGTTGATTCCATTTGTATCTAATAGATCACATGACTAATAAATTTGAGCTGTTAAATGCAAGATATGGTTAAAGATCTGAGGTAAAACTTGTAATTTTTATACCGGTGTAAGTTATCCTTTCATATATGTATATATATATATAGCTGCGAGTGGTGCGAGCATGCTTTTGTGAGTATTGAAATCACAATAAACAAATCATTAACTGAAGATATATCATTGGTGCTTTAGCATACCTAGGGACTTCTTGCTACATGTTTCACGATAACACTGATTGCAACACCAAATGTTAACTGACATTTGGTTTCATTAACATTTTTGCTTCCAGAAAAGGACTCTTCCCATTTGGTGGACTCTGATTTAGGTAGAAAAATAGGGGTTTCTGTTCAAAGTCGGGTGTTAAATGTGGAAAAGGAGAAGGATCATTCTCATGGCAATGATGCTGCACAGTCAAAGGTTAGTCAAGCAACAATGGAGATTAGCCAGACAACAGTCAAGACTACTGATCCAGAGATCAAGCAAGTAAAAGGGGCTCTGCCTGAAGGCTTTTTTGATAATAAGGAAGCTGATTTGCGTGCACGTGGCATAAAGCCTGTTAAGCCAGATGTCAAGTAGGTTCCTACTTTATGTTTTTTGTGTATCTGTACCAGCACTACTAAATTTAACAGTCATGAATGCAGGTTGCTTCTATTAGAAGATATTAGGGTTATTAATAATGAGCTTGGGCTTATACCAGTAGTAATACTAGTGCTTGACCTAATTAATAGTAGAAATAAGTGTATTAGGTTATATTATTTGAGTTAGTAACATCTTACTATTTATCTCATAATTCATTGTTAATCGTCATTCTCTCTTTTTCCTTTTCCTTGTTTAAAAAACCTGTAGTTTCAACATGGTATAAGAGTTTTGAGTGTATCAACCAGAGTTTTGAGTTTTGGAGTACTCTGAAAATAATGAAAACATGACTTATTCATAACATTAGATGATTGTATACCAACCTTGTTTGCTCCTCACACTATCACATTTAATCCTGTTGTTATAACCACATCCTTTAATGACCTTCCCTGGTATCTAATTAGTCATTTTATTCAAAGATATAAAGGTATAGTGGGTGAGTCGTTGTTATTGCTTGATATTTAGATTGTTAGTGCAGTATTTATAAACCCCTTTCACATATATTGGTTCTTTGAAAACTTTTGTTCTATTTAATTTTATGGAAGATTTCTATATTAGTTAAATAGATTGAAACATGGAATAATATTGATTTATTTTAAATCCTTTCTTAGGGACGAATACAGGGAATTTGAGAAGTTGATTCAAGAGGACTTGAAAGAGGTCGATGACCGGTTGGAAGAAGAAGAGGTGATGATCATTATTTTCTTTCTGCTATAAATTTAAGTAAAAATTTCAGACCCTTATGGTGTATATGCACTACAAACATGAGATATGATCAAATCTTTGCTGAGCAGATTGATGCTGCTGAAACGATAGAAGAAGCTGAATCTGTGGAGCAGAAGTATGTTTAGCTATCATATCATATACTTCATTTGTTCTGTTCTCCCACCTGTACTAAAATTGCTTCCACACCTATCATTTTATCTTTGTACAGGATCTTCAGGGAGAAAGTGGAAATGTTGAAGAAGAAGAGATTGGAGCGAAAGGCTGCTAACTCTGCAAAGCGCTGTAAATTGTCTGAGGTTGTAGCCAAGGAGTCTAGACGTGAAGAGTCATCCAGTGATGATGAAAGTGGTGAGAATTTTGCTGTGGACTGGAGAGCACAACACTTGTGAATGCTTGCTAAATTTTGCTGTTTCTTGAAATCCACTCCAAACCTGGAATATAATACCTACATTCATACTGCCAAGTTTGTATGTACAACAATTATGCTGATCATCCTCTTATCCAAGTTCAGCCATTTTTATTAGAGCTTTGGACATTCAAGGTGTTTCTTTTCACTTCTTTACAACGTTCAGTTTGAACAGCATTGGTTAGAGGCTCAGACAGACAACCAGGCAATAGGTATTTGGTACTATTTAAAATTTACTTTTTATTTGTCTAAAAATCTGTTGTTATTTAGAAATTAGAATGCATCTAAGTACTGATTTGCCTTTTCCTTTTAGTGGGAAAAGTAATGAAGCCATTATGTTGTTTTGGAACCTTTTATAGTCTTGAACGTTGAAACAATTGGACCGAGCCAATGAGCTGGATCTGCAACAAAGAAAACACTAGTTATATTGCTTTTTTTTTTTTTTTTTTTTTTTTTAGTACAAACTAGTTATATTGCTTTAATATCAATGAGCTGTGTTTTTATACGATTTCAAGTACGTGTAATAGCTCAATCCCCAAGTCTTATTTGATTTCGTATCGAGTTCACTTTGATAAGTGGAATCTAAGGACAGTCTCATCCATTTATATTGCGTATGGAGGTCGGAGTCATGTAGCAAGATACGTTATTTATGTAACTAAATCGTAGCATATCAGCAATCCAAGTCACCATACAGTTGTTTGATAATATTTTGTTAACCAAACCACTCCTCCTTTGAAATCACATTTTTTTTTATTAGATTATGGCAACTAGGGTGGCATCTGGATTATGTATGTAACTGACGTGTAAGAGCCTCTCATGTCAAAATTTGACATGACCTTGTCATGTTTTGTATCAATGTCATCCGTTCATAGATCGATGGTCATTAATTAAAATAATTTCTCGTTCTACGAAATGTGATAAATTGTAGTTGGACAACTGATTTGTGAATAAATAATTATCAACGATCAAATGATGGTAGCTCTGGCTTCAGGAAATTGAGTATGTGAGGGTAAGAATATGTGTTCAATTTTTTTCAATACGTTTTTCGAAAAAGTTTAAAGTCTTAATCTTGGGACACATTCTGAATCGGATTAGTTATGAAGTGATGAACTAATTGAAATTTCTAAAAAAAAAAATGATTATGATCTAAAACATGATAAGATCATGTTAAATTTTGACATGAAATGATGCCGATACGAACTGTAATATACCATTTTGCCAAATAAAATTTAGGTGGATGTTCTGGTGCATCAAGATAAGACCAATTAGCAACAGCCAACAAGAGTAAATATTAATGTCTTCAGTTGAAGTTGCATCTCCACCTGTGCCCAATTTGACATTAACTTTATCAGCATGGTCACTATCCTTCTCATCAAAATCATTCTTTCAGGAGGTGTTTGGTTCAAGTTTTTGGAGAGGATTACTGGTAATTCTTTTTTGGTAAATGTAATTACCACGTTTGGTAGAAGGAATAAATTACGATTCCCGGATATCCAAGGATTACCAGTAATTTGATTTATAAAGAAAAGTCACTATTCAGATTACCAAAAATAATATGGTAATTCGGAATACCAATCAGAATACCAAGTAAAGGGAAAACACAACAATAAATTTTGAGACAAAAATACCCCAATACACATAAAAATCTAGACCCAATCTATCAATTACAAAAGTAAAAATAGTTTGGGGTTATTTTTGTAAAATAACCTCATATTTCAAGTCATATTTCGTTCTAAACCAAATATGGAATCAATAATTTTTACCCAATATTCCCGGTAATATTTTGGCGAACCAAACACATCTTTCGTAAGATTCCAAGTAAACTCAATTTCTACTGAATTCCCATTAATCATGATTCCCGGTCACCAAAAAATTTCTCCTGTACCAAACACACCCTCATATTCTAATTCTCTCTCCTGAATCCTGATATGGAAGCGTACTAGATATAAAATGGTTACAATTATTCTCGTCCTTATCTTTTTTCCCTCCCCACCAACATATCCACGTAGATTTTTCTCATTACTTTTTCACTCAAATCCTCTCTTCTTCATTAATTTAATTGGATCTAAGACAATCCATTAATCTTCGTTTAATCTAGCTTATCGGCTTAATGATCATACCCAAATAGATTAGATCCGGATCCAGATTATACATCTCTGCCTTAACGTGATTTGGTGCCGGTATGTCTGGAACCTTTTACGCGGGAAGAAAAAACGTGTAGACAGTTTTTTAACAATATGTGTGTTGAAGTCAGCAAGGTTGATAAGATTGAGATTCTGTGTATGTCAGATGATAGCGTATGATGTGATTATCTTTATGTTTTTTTTTTTTACCATATAAAAACTCGTATCTCTCGTGCACATAAAAATATATAGGGTTTGTGTGAGTTTCATGTGAGAAAAAGATAAAAAAAAAAATATAAACCTTATATATTTTTATGTGTATGTAAGAAATAAAATTATCTCTTATAATATAAAAATATTAATCTCATAAAAGGAATAATATTCGCCAGGAATGTCTTAATTCTGTTTTGCATTTATGTTTAAAAATTAAATAATCATTCTCTATCATAAAATAATCATACTTTTTTTCTTTGGGGTAAAAATCATACTTTTTGTTACATGACATATCATATCAAACACACAAAATATGATTATATTAAACAGAAGTACTATGACCCGACTCAAAAAAGAAAGAAAGAAAAACAAATATAACCCGTAAAAATAAAAAAAAAAAAAAAAAAAGTGGAAGAGAGGGAAAAAATGATCTTATAAAGAATTTGTTAATTTATAAGGAACCTTTTCAATATAAACAACATACCTGCATTAAATCAAATAAAAAATTTTATCGACAAATTTCAAGAGTACTTGGGTTCAGTCAAACAAGATGTGCGCACTCACAAGTCACAAGATTTATAGAATTTTAAAGGATTTGGATTTCTAATTTTTATTAAAAAGATAAAGATATAAATAATTTGGGTTTCTATACATAATATACGATTAATTTATAATATAACTATTAAATCTTATAAATTGTCATGTTAGGTTTCTAAAAAAAATATTTTGATTTTTATAATCACAGGTAAATATCTAAAATCTAAATTTCAGTATGTGAATATATAACAACCCATTGGATCAGCTTTTCGGAGATTATGGACTTGTTTAATTTTGTTTTGATTTTTTTGTTTTTAAAATTATTTTGTGAAATAGTTAATAAAATAACTGTTTTTTTTGTGTTTTTTAATTTTAAAAGTTAAAGATTAAAATACAAAATCAGAAAATAATTTAGACATGTTCTCTACATTTAATTTAAAAAATAGTTATATTTTTAAAACAACTTTGTCAAATGCAGAATGTAAAGAATCAATTCAACCCAAAATTTAAGTCTATATGTGATGATCTTTTTAATAATTTATATTATATTCTAACATACTTTTTCAAGAGTCATTTGAGCTTGAAGTATGAATATTGTACAGACTAATTTTTTGATTTACTTTGTATGTATTTAATTTCATTAGAGAATGGGATAGGGAAAATCAAACTTATAATTTAGTGATTATTGAAGTTTTGGTATAAAAAACTAATTTAATTCAAAAATTTAAATATTTAAATAATAATTTTTTTAATAATTTATATTATTCTCTTAACCCACGTACCTGACACCACAACAGCATTACAGAGTATGTTCTATCGTTATCTCATTGCTACACTCCACCGATGAATCACTGCATCCCAGACAGACTAAACACGGTTAAATGGTGTAATTGATTGGTTTAGTGCTCATAATGATAAACCAAATACGAAGCAAATTCGAAAATAACACTAAACAAAGAAGGAAGATTATATTGACAATTTTTTTCTTCACAACTTTATAAATTACATTAAGTCTGATAGTCATTGTTACAAGTTTTATATTGGTTGCATAGGAAACTAACGTGGGGTTTAAAAGGCTTTGGGCACTTCCACCTTTTGAGCTAGCTTTTGGGGTGGTGACCTCAAGGTCCGTAACATTGGTGCTTTCATTGAGAGTTGAGACCACGGAAAGGGCTACCTATAGGCTAGATTAAGGTGCCTTTAGGCACTGAATACTGATAGGTGAGTGAAGCCGCCCAGAGGGGGAAAGGGCTACCGTCGGGTCAGTGTCGATAGAGTGAAAGCCTTTAAAGGGGGTGGCAATGTTACAAGTCCCACATTGATTGTATAGGAAACTAATGTGGGGTTTAAAAAATGTCGATAGAGTGAAAGCCGCCGTGGACGTCAGCCTTTAAAGGGGTGGCAATGTTACAAGTCCCACATTGATTGTATAGGAAACTAATGTGGGGTTTAAAAAGTGTCGATAGAGTGAAAGCCGCCGTGGACGTCGGCTTTTAGAGGGGTTGGCAATGTTACAAGTCCCACATTAGTTGTATAGGAAACTAATGTGGGATTTAAAAGGCTTTGGGCACTCCCACCCTTTGAGCTAACTTTTAGAGTGGTGATCTCAAAGTCCGTAACAGTCATACACTCTTTTGATTGAAGTCTCACAAGTCAGACTTAGTGTAAAATTTATAAAAAAAAAAAAAATTGTCAATGTAATCCCTTTTTAAACAAATTAATAACGTGGAGAAAAAAAGAGATGTATTTGTCAGAGCCAATATGACAGCAGAGATTCGCTCACATCCAAAGCGTATTAAACATCGTTCAAAGGCTCAATTAAGGAAGGAATTTTCTACACCTTCTCATCACCATTTATTATTTTCTTTTTGTCTCTTTCTTCATCTCGCAGGTTTCTCCAAATCCGACGGCTCCACTTTTATGTCTCTGATTTTTTGTATGTAAGTAATTTTTATCTTTCATTATATTCAAATAACTTACAAACATATAAAAAGAATGCGGGGTTCAATATTAACCACTATTTTATTTACATTACAAATAATTTTACTTTCATATTATTATTTTTGTTAAGAGCTTATCCACTTCTACTATGTAAAAGTAGTTTTCTTGTATTAAATTAATTAATATTTGTTTAAAAAAATTACACAAAAATCAGTAGTTGGTGAGATTTCTTTATTTTTATTTTGCGCTAATAATTTTCTCTTATGTGAGGCTATGTAGACCAAAGTCTGTGTACCGAATTAATCTATTATTAGTACATAATGTGCCAATGCCAAGTCGTTCATTGGTTCTGCAATATTTATTTGATTAATATTTCTTTAGTGGGTTAATATTGCTGACTGATGACCAAATGATGACTCATGCTTAAGCCTTTTGATGATTATTATATCTGAATTTCTAAAGTGGTAATCGATCAGATTATAAATATATAATAGCTTCATTAAATTAAAGAAACGTACTATGTTTCATGCCTGCAAACACGAAATTGCTTTTGATTACAGAAATCACAACATCTTAATTAAGCATGGAATCAAACATTACGGAGTTTTTA